CCCTGCACTGGCTAGGGAAGCATTCTACCATCCCATAGTCCCACGATTTGGTTTGAGAGCCTTCATTACATCTGCAAAGACTTTTCCCAAGTCAGTTTGCATTCATGTGCTCTGGGTGGACATGTCACAGCACAGGATGGGTGCAAATACCATACAAAACTACTTCACTTGCTGTATACAGAATCTGAATTATGAATTACTTGTACAAAACTGCCTTATCTGTACTAGGAGGGCCTCTGGCCCACACATTGTTTGGAAGCGTGTTTTTAATATATCAGTGTTGGGACTTTAGATGGTTTTATTTATTTCTAATTTTCATTATGCTCCAAACATCTTGCTAGTTTTTGATGCTACTTTGCCACCATTTTTAGGATTTTGTTTATCTCCTAATTTCACAGATATTAGAATTTATATATGTAATACATTTCCTCTAAGAAAAATTTTTTTTCTTTTTTTGACACAGGGTGTCACTATGTAGCACAGGTTGGTCAGGAATTTACAATCCTTCTGCCTCAGACCCTTTGGGTTGGGATTACAGACACGCACCATATACCCATCTTTAGTTGGTTGAAATGGGGTCTCACAAACTTTTTGCCTGGTCACCCTGGAACTGTGATCTTCCTGATCCCAGCCTCCTAAGTAGCTAGGCTTAAAGACAAAAGCCATGTATTTTGTTTTTCAAACAGGGTCTCACTAACCTTGCCCAGGCTGGCGTCAATCAAACTTGTGATCCTCCTGCCTCAGCCTGTAGAGTAGCTGGAATTATAGGAGTGAACCACCACTCCAAGTTGAATCTCCACTGTTTATGGCAACTTGCACCACAGATGAGGGACTATGAAAGGCAGCCTGCCCATGACCTCAAGGGTCATGACACAGTGGGCTACATCATCAAAGTATGTGCTGTTCTGCAGGGGAACGGATCATGTTCTGGCTGTTGAAGCCAGCTCGTCCCTCACCTCAGGATTATGCATCCCCAGCACATCCCAGTTGCCATTTTATTTTGAGAAAGGACTCACGAAAGGCCAGGCTGGTCTGGAACTCGTGATCCCAGTGCTTCACCTGCCAGGTTCTGGGGTGCCATCCCAAACCATAAGAGGATGCTTTCTGGCCAGAAAAATCAACCAGAAGTGTGGAAATCAGAGTAGCGCGGGAATGGAGGGTGAGCTTGCCAGCACTTCCGCTTCCGCTCTGCACCTAGCGCCAGAGGCCAACCAGAAGCGTTCACATCAGGAGTGGGGCGGGACTTTAGAAAGAGAGAGCTCGTCATCACTTCCGATTCCGCCCTGAACGCCGCAGTCTCCAGTGGGCAGGCTTCAAGAAGACCTGCAACTCTCCTTTGGTCCTAGTAGAGGTGCCGCCCTTCAGGATTCTGCACCCGTGCAGTCCAGAAGATTCAGGACTCAACATGCCTCCATGACACCAATTCCCATCCTCCCGCGCTGCCTGCTGGGAGCCATCTGAGGATCAGGATTCAAGTCTGTGGGTAAATGCTTGCTTTAAACTACATTTCCTCAAAGGTGTGGGATTATGGGTGCTACGTGCCTATGAAATAAGCCCGGGGTGCAGTGGGGCATGCCCTGTAGACCCTATTGTGTGGGAGTGTTTAAACAAGCCCAGAGTTGAATGCACGTGCGTGCTGGTTGGTAGGGGCGGGGCGTCACTGCGCATGCGTACGGTGGGCCCACGGGTCTTGCTGCCAAGTTTCAGGTGATGTGAACCTGGGGTGTTTTGCGGTGCTGGGGACTGACTGAACGCAGGCCTTTCACTTGTTAGGTAGGCACAGCTCTTTTTTTTTTTTTTCTTTGTTTAGTTATTTCTCCAAGGTGGTTCCTATAGTTTTTGCTGGAACCTACCTACACGGCCCATGTAGCTGGGATTACAGCTATGATCATAATTCCTGGCTTGTTGGTTGAGATGGGGTTTTGATGGCTTTCTGCAGGGGCTGGGGTGAAACTGTGACCCTTGCAATCTCTGCCTCCAAAGTAGCTGGGATTTCATGCATGAGACACCATGCCCGGCTGTCACAAGGAATTTCTGCAGAGAAATGACTGCTAGCGGGCCTAGGTGTGGATGTCTAGTGAACTTTTGCTGCAATGAAATTAGAACTAGGTTTGACTCTGAGGAGTTAGGTAGTCAGAAGTGAGCTGCATATGACCTAAGGACAGGACCTGGGTAGATGTGCAAATGGATCAGGACACTTCCATCAGGCAAAGGATCATCTTGGAACTTTCTAGAGTCCTGGCGTTTGAAGCCACAGTGTTCCCAGAGCTCTGGCCCCAGGAACTGCATGTGAACCTAGAGACCCTGCCCGCTCCTGTCACTGCCCTCTGGTTAAGTGGGTGCTGTGGGGCATGTGAGACTATGGGGAGTGCCCCTAACTTCAGCCTCAGTTCAAGGAAGTTTCCATGGGTAGTGAGTGGGAAGTGGAAAGTACTGTCGCACATCCACAGGTTAGGATGCAAGTGAGATTCCTCTGGGTCTGTGAAAGGGGTTCTTGTTTTCTACTCATTTATCTAAAAATAGTGTTGTTTTCTGCACTGCTGGTTTCGATAAGTTTTCCTAAATACATGCTTGTCCCACCACAATTGATACATGGAAAACGACACCACCATCCCCAAACCACTCCTAGCGTCCATTTGTACTCAAGCATTCACCCAGTCTTTGGACCTGACCTGCTTTACATTCCTGCACCTTCGCTGTTTCCAGAATGTCATGTCAATGTGAGCTGTTGAGAGCTGTGTTTAAAATTTGATGCCACATTTGGGAAACTGGGTAACATTTGTCCTCCAGTGTCGTCTGAAAGTTTCCACAGTGCCCAGAACCAATGGGAGCACACGTGTACCCTGAAGTGGAGACCTCATTATTATGGGGTGCACAGCTTATCAGGACTCTGCTCCCTGTGGTTAAGTTTTTATTTTGGCAGTACTGGGGTTTGAACTCAGGCCTTGCACTTGCCAGGCAGGCATTCGATACCATTTGAGCCACTCCCCAGCCTTTTGCTTTAGTTATTTTTCAGGTCGGGTCTGGTGTTTTTGCCTAAGGCCAGCCTCAGACTATGATCCTCCTACCTCTGCCCCCTCAATGCACGAGGCCCAGTGGCTCACTTTCATCCTGTGTACTGTTTGAAAGGTGTTGAGATGGGTCATCAGATGAGGTAGCTGATTCTGAAGTGACCGTAGTCTGTGCAGAGGAGAGGGCACAGGCAGAGTGCCCAAAGCCACAGGTGCTTTCCTTGTGACTTGAGAGGGGTGTGAGTGCCCCTAGGAAGCAGCCTGAGGGAGTGGCATGACTCTAGGGGCTTTGGCAGTTCATTGAAACAATACTTCACTTGTCACAATGAAAACAAACTCAAATTTCTGGATTTGGGCATGGGTAAAACATTGAATGCAGCTCACTGCCACTGCTCCTTGGACACTTAGGTCCTCTCCTTTCTCCTACAGCACTGGCTTTTACCCACAAACCACAGTGGCTGTGCACGGAAGTGACGTTCACAGGGAGACCTCACAGAGTGGAACACTGTGCCTGTGGCCTTAGTGGCTGTAACTGGTCCCCAAGCTGTGAGCTGCTCTGGCTTCCTCAGAACTGATCTGGTTGGTCAGTGTGTCCAAGCACAAAACGCTGCTGGGAAATATGGAAGGCCACTACCTACGTCCACACTGGGTCCCAGCTACCAGCGTCCCATCTCATAAGCACGTGTGCCATGGACTCACATCTTCACCTTTGCAGAACTGAGGCTGAACCATGATTTTACCTTCGTGCTTAGGGAGACCAATCACTGTCAACGCCATGAATGCCCTAGAGACATTATGGGGACAGTGATTAATGCAGGCTTAGTGGCGTGATTATAAATGAATTGATATCCACTGTCCTGCAGTGTCCTTTCCCGGTGAACTCTCTTGTCACAGTTTATTTTATTTCACTTGGACTTGATGCTACTAATGATAAAAATAAGTTTAATCATAACAAGTTTAAGTGTATTTGCGTCTTTTTCTACATTTTAATAGATTCATTTGATACTTAAACTGATAAAAAGCATTATTCACCTTTTTATTATAAGTTAATAAAGAGTAGTTTGGCTCATGAAATTGAGTAATTGCTTCTTCCAAATGTCATGCATGCTGGGGTGTTACAAAACCCTAACATGGAACCACACAGAGAAGGCATCCTGGGAAATGTAGTTCCTAACCTTATACATGTTAATACGGGACAAGCCCCAGAAATTTCTCCCTTCTGATTTCACTTGTGATATCAAAGTGTCCCTTCTTAATTCAGACATACTGGGCAGTGCCCAGCCAGAAGCAAGAGCAAGCAGAACAGGTGAAAATGCATTCAAATGAGACTATACTTTTCAAGACCTACGCATGCTAACAAATTTGTGCCAGCTATTTATTACCCAGCAAAATGGAATTACAGCCCTATGGCTAAAAATTAATTATTTAAGAACACAGACCTATGGTAGAATAGAATACTAGTATAAAAAATGGGCTAGGGGCATGACTCGAGTAGGAGAGTGCCTGTGTAGCACGTGTGAAGCTCTGAGTTTAAACCCCAGTACCACCAAAAGCTTTTTCCATTTTCTCAGTAAGATACAAAGGTGGAATACACGCGACAGGGCAGGTGAAACCCCATTTGGAATACACCAGGCCAGACAATGCCCGTGGGTCATTGGTCTGATAGCCCCATCCTTCACAATAATAAAAAAAGATATAAAATTACACTTAAAACACAGGTACCGATGGCTCACGCCTAAAATTCTAGCTACTCAGGAGGCAGAGATCAGGAGGATCGAGGTTTGAAGCCAGCCCAGGCAAATAGTTTGAGACCTTATCTCAAAAAAACCCTTCACCAAAAAAGAGCTGGTGGAGTGGAGCAAGTGGTACAGCCTGCTTAGCAAGCATGAGATCCTGAGTTCAAACCCCAGTGCCACCACCAAAAAAAAAAAAGTGAGAAAAAGTAAAACTTACATTTAATGCAAGTTAAAAATATACTTCAAATCACCCATGTGAGCAACACACTTCAAAATGGAAAACGACTGTTACTAAAAAACTCACTATATAAAAATTTATGTCATCTACAGGAGCGTGTCCTTAGAGAATCTCACCTCAATGTTTGCAAGAAAACTAGAAATTCATTTGCTGGGGGTTTGCTTTGAGGTTGAGGTCCTTATGGAGGCAACTTTTATAAGATTTCTCTCCTGGTGTGAAGGTTCTCAGCAATTATACATGAATTAATTTGCATCAGCTTTCCCACACCGTATCTTTGGCCCTGGCTTGGTGGTCAGGCGGTCCACCGCTTGAGCCACACCCCAGCCCTTTTTGCTTCATATTTTTCAGATAGGGTTTCATGTTTATGCCCAGGCCAGCCTGACTGTAATTCTTCTACTTAAGACCTTCTGTACTGTTGGGGCCAGCTTGGCTATTTTCCTGGGATTTACTGTGTCTGGTATTCACCTTGGTTTCCCTACTCTGAGTCTACAAGCAGCGTTCTGCTAGCGCTGCAGTGTTTCCTGTAACTGTGACCGCGTTCTGTAGGAGGTGGGGGACAAACTGTATTTAACCCAGCTCCCGACACAGATCCGGGCTCAGCGCTTTGAGAAATTACCTTCCGAGTCCGCTAGCGTAATAAACTCCCTGCTTCCTGTGAAAATGGTCGCGTTGACTTTGTTTCCTTCGCCGTTTCCCACATTTCAGCTGGAGGTTGAGAATGGGTTCTAGCTAACTTCTTCCCAGGGCTGGCCTTGAGCGGTGATCCTCCCAGTCTGTGCCTCCTGTATAGCTGGGATTGCAGGCGAGCATTCGGTGCTTGGGGCATACTATTTATAGGACTCTTCTCCTGTGTGGCGTGTCGCCGCGTGCCCTTAGAAGGGCTGGGACAACTGAACTCCCATTTCTCACTCGGCTAGGGCTCCACTCCGGACTGCACCTGCCGGCTCTGGGATGGACGAAGGCGGGTGGGAGGCTTCCCCACGCTGCCTACACCTGCGGACTGCTCTGCACCGCACGTCTTCGCGTGCACGCGAGGCCGAGAGACCCGAAGGCTCCTCACCTGACCCCCGCGCGTCGCGTTTCTCCGCAGCCGCCGCGTCTGCGCAGTTGGAGGAAGGGGGTCCCGCTGCGGGCTGCCGGCCGCAGTTCCCCTGCGTGGGCCTCCTCGGCGCGTGCGTCCTCGCGTGCTTGTGCAGGGACGAGGGCCAGGCGAAGGCCTTCCCGCACGTCGCGCAGGCGTAGGGCTTCTCCCCGCTGTGCCGTCTCACGTGCCTCTGGAAGGACGCGAGCCAGCCGTAGGCCTTGCCGCACTGCGCGCATGCGTAGGGCCGCGCGCCGCTGTGTAGGGCCGCGTGCACGCGGAAGGACTTGGGGCAACTGTAGGCCTTGCCGCACTGCGCGCATGCGTACGGCTTCCCGCCGCGGTGCGTGAGCACGTGCGCGCGGAAGGACTTGGGGCAGCTGAAGGGCTTGCCGCACTGCGCGCATGCGTACGGCTTCTCCCCGGTGTGGATCCTCGCGTGCTCGCTGACAGAATAGGCGCGCAGGAAGGTCTTCCCGCACACGGCGCACGCGTGCGGCTTCTCCCCGCTGTGCGTGCCCGTGTGCATGCGGAGGTAGGACGGCCGGCTGAAGGCCTTGCCGCACTGTGCACACTGGTGCGGCTTGTGGCCGGTGTGAATCCTGCGGTGCCTGTGCAGGGACGACGAGTGAGTGAACAGGCCGCCGCACTCACCGCACTCGTAGCGCCTGCCAGCATCGGGGGGCGCCTGGCTCAGCTTAGCATCCAGGGTCCCGGGCAGGGCACCGCCGCGCCTGTCCGCCTGCGCCCCCCACCGAGGTTCCTCGCCACGTGAACTCTGCGGAAACGGGCAGCAAGTTACCAGCGGCCTGTGTGAGTCATCTCCTAATAGTCATTAATGGGAGTTACAAGTGCAGTCTTACGGTGGCATCAAGGTTTGAACTCAGAGCCTTGCATGTGCTAGGCAGGCACTCCAGCACATGAGCCACGCCCCCAGCCCTTTTTGCTCTGGTTACTATTGGGATAGGGTCTCACATTTATGCCTGGGCTGGCCTGGACAGCGATTCTCCTACCTACACTGTACTGGGGTTACATGCACGTGTCTTGTTATTTGGGATTGAGTCTTAATAACTTCACTTGTGCTGGCATTGAACCACGATCCTCCGGATCTCAGTAACAGGATCACAGGTGTGAGCCACCGGTCCCAGCTAGGAGAGAACCTTTGTATTTTTTAAAAAGTTTTTTTTTAAATGGTGCTGGGGTTTGAACTCAGGGACTACCCTGGGTTGAACAACTCAACCAACCCTTTCTTGTGTGACTTTTTTTTCCGAGACAGGGTTTCTCGAACTATTTGTCTGGTCTGACTAGTAATCACAATCCTCGTGATCTCTGCCTCCTGAGTAGCTGGGATTACAGGCATGAGCCACCAGTACCAGGCTAGAATCTTTGTATTTAATGAATTAAAAACATACTTGCCTGTGGCCTGGCACTGGTGGCTCACGCCTGTAGTCCTAACTAATTGGGAGGGATGGAGTTTTGAGGCTAGCTTGGGCAAATAGTTTCCGAGACCCTATCTTGAAAACGCCCAGAACAGAAAGGGCTGGCAGAGTGACTTAAGTGGTAGAGAGCCTGCCTAGCCCTGTGTTCAAAGAAAAAAAAAGAAAAAGGTTTTCTCCTGGAATCCTTTTTTCTTGCCACTCACCTCAAATGTCTCCTCTGCTTTTTGTGCTTATCTTTAATGCTATGGACTTCCCAATTTTCCCCTAAAAGAGACGCCCAGGTGTCATTTCTTGTGAATCGTGCTATCTTCTGCTTATTGGATAATTTTTCTCCAAAAAGACCCTGGTGAGAAATGGCTGTATTGGTTTGGGCTTGATTCTCATCATCTGAAACAAAAAGAAACAAATCTTAGGTGTCAGCATTGTGAGCAAAGAAGGGAATTCAGGAATTTAGCTGCGTTGTGACTTCATTACTAACAGCCACAAAGGAACATGGCAGACAACTGAAAACAAGCACAGAAAAATCATCACACGAAATGACAAACCTCTCTGTGCCTTTGTGGTAGTCCATTTTTCTGTTGCTATAGCACAGTACCAAGACTGGTTAATTTATAGAGAAAAGAGGTTTGTTTGGGCTCCTTGTTATGAGGCTGGGAAGCCAAGATTGGGTAGCTACATCTGGTGGACTTTTGTTTGGCAGTACTGGGATTTGAACTCAGAGACCTCTGCTTGCAAGCCCAGCGCTCTACCACTTGCGACATGCTGCATCCATTTTGCCTTTAGTTGTTTTTCAGGTAGGGTATTGTGCTTTTGCACAGGATCGCAGGCATCATCACCAAGCCCAGTTTGTTGATGGACATGGGTTCTTGTTAACTTACTACCAGAGCTGGCCTTGAACTGCAGTCCATCTCTGTCCCTTGAGTAGCTGGATTTGCGGGTGTGAGCCACAACACCCAAATCCCAACTCATGAGTTCTGAGCGACATAATTAAACCGTATGAGCTCTTAATGTGACCCAGATCAGAACCCTAAATCTTTAAACACAGAGGAAATAAAGACACAGTAGTGTAATGTGCAGATTTTCCTGTTACAGAGATACTCTGTTTTAGCTCTGTGACAGCTGTGACCATGTGTCTTGCTAACCAATGTACTTTGCATGCCCACTGCAAATCTTTGAACAGCCTGAGATAAACAAGAAATATTTATGCTCTAAATAAACGAATGAACAGGTGCTGTGGCCCTCACCTATTGAGGCCAGGTTCCGGAAGTTCTCCAGCATGACATCTCTGTAGAGTTTCCTCTGAGCCTGAGTCAGCAAAGCCCACTCCCTTGCCGTGAAGTCCACAACCACGTCCTCAAAGACCACTGAGTCCTGCAACAAACCACATGTGTGTGCAGTAGGATGGTGACATGCATGGGGACTGGACATAACTCATAAGATGTTCACATGTGATTCTGTGTCTCCTGACGTCTGTTTATGTCTTCTGTCCCTGCTCACTTCCTGTGCGAAAGTGTGTATGGGTTTGAACTCGGCCTCATGCTTGCTAGGCAGCCACTCTATTGCTTGAGCCATTCTGCCAGCTAGTTTTGTTTTTCTAGGTGGGGGTCTCATGGTTTTGCCCCAGCTGGGCTCACACCACTATCCTTCTATCTATGTGTGTCTCCTAGCTGGGATTACATATATGCACCACCACACCTGACTTATTTGTTTAAATGGAGTCATCCTGACCTCTGGTTCCTGAGTAGCAGGGATTATGGTTATAAGCCACTGTGCCCAGTCCCAGTTTTTCTTTTGACAGATAAACACTGTGTATGTTTAGAATGTGCAGCATAATATCTGAACATATACTCTGTGAAGTCATTACTACCATCAAGTGAATTACCAGCCTTCATCTCACATACTTTAAAAAATTTGGTGGCAGAGAACACTTGAGGTTGTAGATCATGGCATGCTTCAGGCATGAGGTATTACTTCTTGTCACCACATTGTACACTGGGTTTCTAGAACTTATTTTTTTGCAGTTACGGGTTTGAACTCAGGACCTTGCACTTACTAGGCGGGTGCTCTGCCACTTGAGCACGCCTCTGCTCTGAAATGCTTTCATCTTACAAATTAAAATTTGTACCTTGAGTAATACCTCCCCAGTCCCCAGGCACCATAACACTCTGCTTCTTGGAGTGTGATTCTTTCTGACCCGCATAGGTCAGATCATAGAGTATCTGGCTTTTTCTGTCTGACTTATTTCACCCATCTTATTCTCCCCTACATTCACTCATGCAAATGTCAGCAATTGTCCTTTTTATGGCTAATAATCCATTGCATATATGTGCCATATTCTCCTTTATCCTGTGCCATATCTTACATCACTTCAAAAACACCAAACTTCTGTATACATTCCTACTGTGTCTCTTCCACAGTCACACTCCTCTTTTTTGCAGGGTCATCATAGCCCAGAATGCACTGGAGACATGAGACACATGTTTTTTTTTTTTTTTTTTTTTTATTTTGTCTTTTCTTTTTTTGGTGCTGGGATCGAACCCAGGGCCTCACGCATGCTAGGCAAGCGCTGTACCACTGAGCTACATCCCAGCCCGAGAGACATGTTTTTTAAAAATTCATTTTATGACTGTTGATTTTTTTTCTTTATTTTGGCAGTGCTGGGTTTGTACTCAGGGCCTCATGCTTGCTAGGCAGGTGCTCTACCACTCAAGCCATTCTACCAGGTGACCTTCAGTTTCTTGTGACAAATACTATTTAATCTCTTTCTTGCGGTATTGGGGTTTGAACTCAGGGGCTTCACCTTGAGCCACCCCACCAGCCCTATTTTTGTGAAGGGTTTTTTGAGACAGGGTCTTGTGAACCATTTGTCCAGGCTGACTTCCAACTGTGATCCTCCTAAGCTCTGCCTCCTGAGTAGCTTGGACTACAGGCGTGAACCACTGGTGCCTGGCCTCATCTATTTTCTTGCTGCTGATGGCATCACTCAGGACTACATGAAACACAAGTTCAAGCCAGGATGCTTAATGACTAAAAAATACAATGAGTGGGCTGGCAAGTGGCTCAAGTGGAAGAGCACCTGCCTAGCAAGTATGAAGCCCAGAGTTCAAAGGCCAGCATCACCAAAAATATCCACAATGAGTGACACCAGGTTTTCTCCCTCAGCGACCACAGGTTCCCCAGGGCCTGTGGAAACCCAGCTGGCCTTCCGTCCAGGACATTACAAGTGTACCAGCACTCTTGCTGTGGCAAGACATTTTAGGGAGAAATGTTCATTTTGACGTGTGCTGTTCAGCACCAGGTGGTACTGAGCAGTGGAGCTCAGGAGAAGGAGGAAGACAGGTGCCTTCAACACCATTCTGACATCCGTGAGCGCCAGCATGCTGCGTGCCACCGGAACATGCCCTTGACAAGAGGCCAGAGCACCCGCTTCACCACAGTCTTAAAGGCCATTCGTGGGCTGTCTTCACCATGACAAATGACTTGAGAGTCCCACATTGCAAGTGAGGTCGCTGAATTCAGAACTTCTTGTGAATTTGCTCATGACTACAAAAGGAAATGTGGCTACGATTCCAGATCGAATCATAAAGGTGTCAGCAAGGCCGTCCTCAAGAAAGAGACTCCCTATCTGGGTGTGGTGCGATGGCGAGCCTGCACTTACCCAACTCCGGCACCAAACAAAAAAAAGAAAATCAAAAGGACACTTCCCTATTTCAAATCCCAGGAGGCAGGGATACCCCACAAACTGTTGGACAAGCTACACTACCCACTTCTGCCACTTCTTTGTCCCTTGTGGGTCACATGAGCCCAGCCCCTGAGCCTGGGGACCAATGAGATGCAGACTCTATTCCTTAGTCTCAAGACATCCTCAGCCTATTGATGACATACTTGGAAAGCAGAAGATGGCCACCATGCTGCTGTTCTAAGGGTACAGTTCACCTGCTCTTCCCAGCAGCGACCCGATGCAAATGTCCATCCTATTTATGTGGGAGGAGGAGGAGCTGCCTTGTCACCTGCTTTCTTTTTCTGATGCTGGGTATTGAACCTAGGGCCCTGTCAATGCTATGCAGGTGCTCTCCCAGTGAGCTACACCCCCAGCCTCTTAATTTTTTTCCTTTTATTTTTGGCAGCACTGGGGTTTGAACTCAGAGTCTTGCACTTGCCAGGCAGGCACTCTACCACTTGAGCCACACCCCAAGCCCTTTTTGTTTTATTTTTTAGTAAGTTTTCTTGTTTAGCCTGGATGGACTTGGATCGAGATCCTCCTATCTACTGTTCCCACATAGCTGGGATGACAGGCATGTATCACCACGCCCAGCCAGTGGTTGAGGGGGGTCTCATGAACTGTTTTCCTTGGGCTGGTGTCCAACCATGATTCTGATCTCTGCCTCCCAAGTAGCTAGGATTACAGATGTGAGTCACCACACCTGGCCCAAGTGGCATTCTTTAGGCCAAGCCCTGGAATGCCACTTGTCACCACTGAGAAGAAAACAACAGATGTGAGCAGATTAACTACGTACCAAAAAAAGGAACAGAAAAAAATGCACAGAATTTTTAACAAATGGAATACAGGACTAGAACTTATTTCCCCCAAAATTCGCCTCTTTCAAGCCTCTGGAACTCTTATTCCAACAGTGTTCCTTAAACATATGTGACATTTACTGAAAGCTCAAGTAACCCAATACATCTTTTGAAGGTGAAGAAGTCAGGGAGGGCCAGTGCTCAACTGGCAACCAACTTGTCTGACTCAAGGTCATGTCCGGCCACTACCACGTGGGGCACGCACCCCCACCACCTGTTCTCTGAGGCGCTCCCAGAAGAGCCGCCAAGCCATTCTGGCAGGTGTCCCCGCCAGACTCCCAAGGGTGTTTTCTAGGGTGGGGTTCATGTCTACCTTGCCTGAGAACCCAAGGGCGCTTTTGCCCTTCTTCCTCACCGTTCCATCCCGCCAGCTCAGCTGACTTCTAACGATCCCCCAAGAATAAGCCCTTGGTGGGGAAGCTATGCAGTGCCCGAGGGCTCTGTCACGGGAGGAGGCTGTGTCCAGGTCCCCAGGGGCCCCATGCCCAACCCATTGGAGGCGATGAGCCAGGGTGGAGGCTCTCTGCAGTCCCGGGGAGAAGCGAGGACGGATACCCGGGTGTTGTCCCCTGCTACCATCAGACATAGGCTCAGGAGACTAGCGGCTCCCACCCCCTCCTCCCCTACGGGGCACTCACCATCCTCTGCGGCTCGGGCCACTCCGGAGCATCCTCCCCACCGCCCCACGTGAGGACTCGCTCGCTACTGCTGGGGGCCGCAATGTCCCGCCCCCAGGCCTTGATTGGACTGCGCCTCCTGATGCCAGCAGCTCTGATTGGACACTTCTCTAGGCCCCGCCCAGCTCCTGCCTTTGGAGAGTTCAGCCTTTGGCCAGCCTCCTTGCATCAGGCCGGTGGGTCCCCCCGATGTCCACTTCCTCAGATGAAAGTGGCACTTGTGGGTTAGCCACAAAGCTGAGCGCTGCAACACGTGCTACCCATGTGTGTTGCTCCTCAGTGTGTTGCCAGATGCAGTGACTCCATAGCAGGTCCCACCTCAACTGACCAGTGTCCAGCTATTGAGACTCTTGAAATCAAGTGAGGGATTGGAGGGCGGGGTGGAAGTTCTCCATCTCATAACAAGGAACAGCTCAAATTCTCATTTTCCAGTTCTAGACGCCTCTCCCTACCACTGGTCTCATCTGAACTTTTTGTACAAATTCTTGAGCCATTAACAATAGCGGAGTCTGGTACAGTGTTCATGCCTATAATCCCAGCTACTCTGGACGCAGAGCTCGAGAGGTTTGAAATCCGCCTGGGAAAAAAGTTAGGGAGGCCCTATATCAACAAGCAAGATGGCGGCACACACTTTTGATCTGTTATGTGGGGAGCCATGTTTAGGAGAGTAACAACCTGAGGCTGCCCAGGCAAAAACTGGAGGCCCTACCTGAAAAATAACTAAAGCAAAAAGGGCCGAGAGCGTGGCTAAGGTGGTAGAGCACCTGCCTGGTAAGGGCAAAGCCCTGAATTGAAACCCCAGTGACATAAACACAAAACCCCAAACAAAAATAATCATCTGGTCCCAACACCGCCACCAGCCTTGCATGTGAGACCAACAAGTTAGGACACAGATCTTAGGGGTATTTCACTTCACAGTTTCCAAATATAAACTCACATCACACGTCTACTTACTGAAGCCAAACCTCCAGAGACTAGGTTCCGCGTGCAAATTTCTGAGGTGCACATGGACAAAGAATGAACGGAACAGAGTCTGTAGGGCAGAGGGGCCCTGCCCCCATCCACAGAGGCTGGTCCCTATCCTCTGACCAGGGTATTCAGTTAAATGGTCTTTTTTTTTTTCTCTTGTGGCACCGGGGTTTGAACTCAGGGCCTCTAGCTTGCTAGGCAGGCACTCTTACCACATGAGCCCCTCCTCCAGCCCTCTTCTTGTGATGGGTTTTTTGGAAATAGGGTCTTGCGGAACTCTTTGGCCTGGCTTCAAACATTGATCCTCTGATCTCTGCCTCCTGAGTAGCTAGGATTACCGGTGCGAGCCACCAGCACCAAGCTTTTTGCTTTTTAAAAAAATGTTTCAGATGGAGTAGCATTTTTGCCCAGGCCCGTGTTGGACACGATCCATCTCCCTACGCCTCCTGTGCAGCTGGGATGAAAGGTGTGCACTACCACGCTCAGCTTCAAACTCAGCCTTTTTTGGCCTGATTTATTAGAGTTGCAGCAAATTGCTGTGGTTAGAGGCTTGACAAGGACAACTGTCCCCACACAGAGTTGGTGTCCACTTTCCATGAGATTACTCATTGGCCAGCCATGGAGAGTTAGGTTTTCTTAAAGGCGCCTCCCGCTGCATGTGGGTAGACAACCTGGAAGGGATTCACATTTAATGGAACAAATGAGGCTATAAATTAACATAGTCTCTGACATTACTGAAATATTTGGAAAGATGCCACAAAACTCTGCTGACATATTTTCCTGGCTGTCTCCCATGGCCCTGGATGACTGAATGCAACTGCCTTTCCAATTTCTGCTGCTGGTCTTAACTCTTACTATGTTGCTTGGCCAAGTGGTTTTAAAATCCACACTCAAAATTCCTGTTCAATTAAGTGAGACACAGCACATTACAGTGACTGATCAAACACTTTGGGGAGAAACTGTAACAAGTAGGCTGACTTCGTTTTTGATGTTGGACCATGGATGGCTCCTTGCCCTTCTTCCCTGCCTCCCCACGAGTGCCACCTGTCCTGTGACGGTGGGTAGGAGGGTTAGACCTCACCCAGCCCCAGCCTCAGTGCACTATCCAGTCCTGCCCGACAGTCTCTGCTTCCCTCAAGCCAACTGGACCAGCTGTACCTGTCCTGACCATCTGAAGATCACATGATCCAACTATTTATTACACTGTCGGTGCATGTGCCATCATCAGTGTTGAAATCCAAATCCTCCTTGAGCGGGGTTTGTGTAACCTTCAGAGCATGGGGACACGGAAAGTATTTCTGGGGTGAAGGATGTGAGTTTAGTCCTGGCACCCTGAGAAGGACAATGGGCTTAGGACATCCAGATGCAGATGATGCCGATTAAGTGGCTTGAGAAGCACTGAAGCACCCCAGGGAGTCACAGGCAGTAGACTCAAGTGAAAATGGCATGGCCTCTGACCTGTCAGTTCTCCTCCAATGTGGGATCAGATTAGATTGACAGGGACATATCATCTTGGCAGTGAGGAAAAGCCTATTGGGATAAAGCTTATCCTGACAACAAGGGACCATTTAGAGACAAAATGTTCAGACAAGGTGTCAGAGGAAGGTGTCAGACTCCAAATGGAGTTACTTGTGCTAACCCTTCTAAAAATCACTAAAGCAGAGAGGTTGTGAAAGCATGGCTCCTACTCACAGGTACGTGATGTTAACACCCACACCTGTCTACCTTTCAAATGGACAGGAAATCCCACCCTTGCCTTTCTCTCACCTGGTATGGACACTAGGAACCCATGAGAAACATGAGGGCATCCCACGCATACTTCTGCTAAAAGGCCTCAGGATTACCCAGGCATAGAGATAGGAGTGGAAGGAATGATTTCTTCCTCCTTAACCTACAAAATCCTGTTGGCAGAGGTGGCTGCTGCCCAAGACACCATAGCCAAACTCTCACAGGCTTACATAGATCCATTGACCCTCTGATGGCTGGGGTCCTACAGAACAAGAGGGCTTTAGACTGGCTCTCTTCCACACAAGGGGGGACCTGTTCTATGCTTGGGGAAGACTGCCGGTTTGGGTTAATAGGTCAGGACTAGTTCAAACTAACCCTCCAAGTCTCTCAACTTAAAAAACGAACCACCTGAGGATGGAACTCATGGGCAAATAGCTGGTCATGGTTATCCTGGCTTCTCCCCTTCTTGGGACCACCAATACCTTTTTTACTCCTTTTCACCATTGGCCCTTGCCTAATTAACCTTCCAAGCAGATTTGTTTCTTCCCACCTCCAGGCTATAAAGTTACAAGTGATGCTAGAAGGTGGGTTCCATGCCCTACGGCATGACCAACCCAGGCCTCTTAGCCCCCAGACCAGGCTCTTGTACAGCTTTATTCTGGCATTCAGTTAGCCCCTGCTCCATAATCCTTTGACAGAACAGCAAAATCACAGACAAGGACATCTCTGCACTTCCCAACTCCGGCAGTTACAAGAAGCTGAGATCTCTGCACCAATTAAACCAGGATAGGTTTTGTTGATCTGTTGGGGGTGGGTGTGGAGGGTCCCCTCCTTCCCTTAAGGAGACATGCTGGGGGCAAAATACCAGTAGCCTGGCAGGATGAGGAACCAGAGGCCAAGAATGAAAAATACTGGAAATACTGAAAATACTGGGGGTGAAAACCAAGAGCACAGAAAGTTCCTGCATGTGAAAATCAAACCAAGATCTGAGGCAGAGAGAACCAAGTATGAAGGCCTGCAAAGAGGATGGCCAATCAAAAGTAGCCTGACCTAAGGCCCAAAACCCACACTAAATCCTTGGCATGGTTTACTCCCTTGTCTAGCTGTCTGCTGTTGCCCCCTTTAATGTTGTCCTAATAAATCTTTGCTTTTCTTAAAAAATGGTATAGCCTCATAAGAGAGCACAGAGCAACAAGTGTTCAGCTAGATGTGGTGGTGCCCACCTGTAATCCAAGTAACTTGGGAAGCAGACACGGGATGACTATGATTTGAGGCCGGTCCAGGCAAAAATGTGAAACTTTACCCAAAAAATAACAAGCAAAAAGAGCCGTGGGTATGGCTCAAGGGGTACAGAGCCTGCCTACCAAGTATGAGATCTTGAGTTCAAACCCCAGTTCTAAAAACCCAATATCCAATAGTAGCTGGGCTCCAGTGAGTCACACCTGTAATTCTAGCTACTTGTGAGGCTGAGAGTAGGGGGATCGAGGTTCAAGGTCAACCCGAGCAAATAGTTTGTGAGAACCCTGATCTTCAAAATAACCTGAGCAAAATGGCCTAGAGATGTGGCTCCAGCAGTAGAGCACCTGCTTTGGAAGCACAAAGCCCTGAGTTCAAGCCCCAGTCCCACATACAGATACACACACAAAGATAAAATTTACACAGCAGACATATCCCTGTCTTGTACATGCCTGGTACCACTGATTTTAGATGTATAATGCTTATATTTTAAAAAATCACAAACTTGGCTTTAAGTCCATAATTGATCACTCTCTCAGGAAGTGGTAACTACCCGCCAACACCTGCTTTTTGGACTTTTGGCCTCCAGAACTGAGACAAAAAATTACTGCTATACTAAACAACTCCATTTTTGGACTTTGTTATGGTAACCCTAGGAAATTTACAGTATGCAACAAAGTTGAAAAGTAAACAGACTACTTCTGAGATGGAAATACCGGTTTTCACAGAAAGAATGCATTTTTTGTGGTGCTGGGGTTTGAACTTAAGGCCTGTGCTTGCTAAGCAGGCCCTCTACCACTTTGAGCAACTCCACCAGCCCTTTCTGCTGTGGTTATTTCTGAGACAGGAACTCACATTTATGGTAGGCTGGCCTGGACTGTGATCCTCTTGTATATACGCTGCCCATGTATTGGGATGACAGGGGCATGCCGTCTACATGGATTTTCATGGTTGAGATGGGGGACTTGTGAACTTTTTGCCTGGCTGGGCTTGAACCGCCATCCTCCCAGTCTCTGCCTCCCACGTAGCTGAGATTCTAGGCGTGAGCCACCTCGCCTGGCTAAGCATGCACGCTTTAATAACACAATCACACCTAACAAATACATGTTAAGGAAGTGCGTTCGGCACAATGCCAGAAGCCTTCCAGCGCCTCTGAGGACAGTATCTGTCCTCACGTACGACTTCAAAGGCAACAAGCAAAGTTTCATGCAGGGCTTTTCATGTTTTCCTGGGACGCTGCTCTGATGGTGGAGTGAGGATTACAGAGCACTGGCAGTGTCGAGGGCAGAATTTACAAATGTGTGAAGACAAGAAAAGGGTTGGGAGTGTGGCTCAAGTGGTTGAGTGCCTGCCTAGTGAGTGAGGAGCTGAGTTCAAATCCCAGTCCTGCCTCCAGCATTTCTAGAGGAGACCAAGCATCGCAGATGGCACAGCATGGCAATGAGGGTCAGTGGCATGCAGGGTGAGGGGTGGGAAAATGCAGACATTGGGTACCAGGCCCATATGCATTGTTACGCCAGATGTGTCTGTTCAGAACCACACCTCTGACCACATGGACATCCAGCCTGTCTAGGGGATAGTCCAGACTGGCCTGGCCAAGAACCCAGAAAAGAGGCTATGGCTGGCGTCCACAAAGCCCCTTCACACCCATCTCCCTCCATTTCCTGTGGCCCCCAAAACTCAGTACGAGTTTCTTCACTGCTTGCTGCTAGATTCCAATATGGCACCCTCTCGGGAGAGGATTCTTGGAAATTCCATCGCTAATCTTACCCACACCAACAAAGCTCAGTGCATAAGTGTCTCCAACTCTAGGTTTCCCTGTCACAGCACAGGTGTCTCAAGTCCAAGCCTAATGTCCAATTAAGATCATAAAAAGGATGAGCAGCAAGTCATAACACTCAACACAAGACTACATTCTTGAAAGAACTTGCAGAATTACAAATTTTGGCTAACTATTGTTAGGAAGAAAGTGGAATATGGCTCCTTTTGCCAAGAAAAACTAATTAAAAATTATCTCTATAAGAAAGGTGGAAAATAGCCTATAGCTACAGCCTATAGCTGATGCCTGTAATCCCAGCTATCAGGGAGACAGAGAGCAGGAGGATTATGCCAGCACTGGGGGTGGGGGGAAACTTGAGACCCTAACTAAAGAAAAAAAAAAAGCTGGGGAAGTAGCTCAAGTGGTAGAGCAACTGCCTGGCAAGGGCAAGGCCATGAGTTCAAATCCCAGTATTGCCAAAAAAAAAAAAAAAAACAGAAAATAGAATAGATAAGTGATGCCTTCGATACTAAGTCAGTTAAAAAAAATCTGGATAAATGCCAGTCTCATTGTTCCAATAACCATTTACTTAGAGAACAATTTAAGACTAGAGGGTTGGGGGTGTGGCTTAAGCGGTAAAGCACCTGCCTGGCCAATGGGGGGCCATGAGTTGAATCCCAGTACCATGAAACCAAAAAGGAAACTAAATAGAAATTAAAACTATGTGCATTAAAAAATACACTTCAAATTAATCCATGAGTCCAACACACTATAGATATGTTTTATTTATTGAATTGTAAGAAAAAAAATTCCTTGTCAAAAAATATACATACTCGCTAAGAGTATTTAGAGATTTTATTAAAACAAGGTCTCACTATGTAGCTCAGGACGGCCTGGAACTCAAGATCCTCCTGCCTCCACCTCCTGAGTGCTGGGATCACAAATGCAGCCAGTACACCCAGCTAGAGAATTTTTTGCCTAAATGCTTATTTGTAAGTGGACCACACGCTCTCTGTGCGTCTACTTTCAGGACGAGGTTTGCAGAGGCAGTGTCATATTTACACCTCTTCCAAGACGGCTGTCCTCGTGTGTGTGGTCTGGAACAGTGTCCACAAGTCCACTCGAAGGTGGATACCCAGGTTTGCGGGCCCAGTGTGTATTTCTGTGTGTCTTTTCGGCACTGTGTATTCGTGTGTGTCTTCTCAAGGATGACGAGCAGCTGAAGGCTCGGGTGCACTGCTGGCACTGATGGGGTTTCTCGCCAGTGTGCAGTCTCATGTGCACTGGTAATGACGACGGCCACTTGAAGACTTTCCCACATTCCTTACACTTGTAGGGCTTCCCTGCAGTGTGGCTTCTCACATGCTGCTGTAGCAGCTCGGGCCAACTGAAGGCTTTACTGCACTGGGGACATGCATAGAGCTTCTCTGCCGTGTGCCTTCGCATATGCTTCTGTAAGGAGGTGTGGCAGTGGAAAAACTTCCCACACAGCTTGCACCCATAGGCCTGGTCCTCAGGATACATTGTGACATATTCCCGGAAGCAGGTGGCCAAACTGAAGGCTTTCCCACATTGCTTGCACTCATAGGGCTTTCCTCGAGAGTGTGTGTTCACATGTTTGCGTAAGGATATAGGCCAGTTAAATGTTTTCCCACACTGCTGGCACTCGTAGGGTTTCTCCCCCGTGTGCACCCTCACGTGTCCTCGGAAGGATGAGAGATTACTGAATGCTTTCCCACACTGGCTGCATTCATATGGCTTTTCTCCGACATGGGTTCTTTCGTGTCTCCGAAAGGACTGGGGATAAATGAAGGTTTTCCCACATTCTTTGCACTCATAGGGTTTCTCCCCAGTGTGAATCCTCTGGTGTCTCTGATAGGATTGGAGATATATGAAGGTTTTCCCACACTGTTTACACTCGTGCGGCTTCACCCCAGTGTGCGTTATCATGTGTCTGCGAAACGCTGTGGAGTAGCTAAAGGCCTCCCCACATTCCTTACACTGATGCGGCTTCTCTCCAGTGTGCGATATCTGGTGTCTGCGGAAGGTGGAGGAGTAGCTGAAGGCCTCGCCACATTCCGCACACTTGTAGGGTTTCTCTCCTGTGTGCGTGATCAGGTGTCTACGGAAGGTTGAGGAGAAGCTGAAGGCTTTCTCGCATTCCACGCATTTATAGGGCTTCTCTCCAGTGTGGCTTCTCGTGTGGCTGGTGAGACCTGAGTTGTCGATGAAGGCTTTCCCACATTGCTTGCACTTGTAGGTTTTCTCAGCCGTGTGAGTCCTGATATGCCGATTGAGGGAAGAAGTCCGAGGAAAGCTTTTCCCACACCACTGACACACGTGTGGTCGCAGGTGTGAACCACAACTGGACACCTGTCCCCACTCCTGGCACTGGTGTGGCTTGTGTCTGGTGTTAATTGTACTGTTACTCTTGAGGGATGTGTATTGCATGGAGACTTTTCCACGTGTGCTGTGTTCACCCTGATGGGCACCAGGAGGGATTTTCTTGTACACATGAAGGTCTGGGACCTGGCTGGGGGCTGCTGTACATCCATGATTATTTCCCCAGAGTCTCTCCACCATGGCATTTCTATTAGAAAGAAGCGTACAATGAGTGCTTTGATAATAAAGATGTATTTTTTTTTTTTGGCACTGCCGGGGTTTGAACTCGGGCAGGTGCTCTACCACTTGAGCCACTCCACCAGCCCCTTTAATTTTCATTAAAAAGTATTCTATACTATTTTCAGAGTGTATAAGTCACTCTGCCATCACAAAGACAAAATCCCTGACTTCATTAAAGGATGAACTTATTTTGGCTCAGTTTCAGTTTCAGAGATTTCATTCTATCATAGTAGGGAAAGTGGTGTAGAGCAAAGAGTTTCACATCATGGAGGCTGGGATATGGTGGGGATGGGGGGAGACACAGAGAAAGAGAAGAAGAAGAAGAAGAGGAAGAGGAAGAAGAGAAGAGAGAGAGCCAGCCTAGGCTGGCTTTGAACCGAAATCCTCCCTAATTTCATGCCACAGTAAGAATCTCCCTTAGCCAGTGGCTCTCTCTTGGCTTGTTGAGTACACTCACCTCGGATGGACCCCCTGGTCTGTGCACTGATCTTCAATGCTGACATCTTCCCCAGTGGTTCTTAACACAGAGATCCAGGAATTGTGTCTGGTGAACTTTGATATTTTAGGTTCCTTGGGTGTTTTTTCTCCATAAATGTCCAGTTGAAAAAATGACCCATTGGTCTTAAACCAAGCCTTGTCATCTGAAAGCAAAAGTGAAGAAACCCTTCACCCTTGTGAGCCAAGAAGACACTGAGGGGTTCCACTGTCTCTGAACATCACTGAGCACAAAGGGCCAGAATGACAAGCACAGTGAGATTCTTGTGGGTTATAGAACCCCATCCACTGGGCCCTGGAAGCCTCCATCCACAGCGGCAGCACTGTGGGGTTTGCTCTGAAGAAGGAAAATCTGATTAGGACACAGATTCTGTTGTTAGTCCAGGTGTGACTGTGCCCACATTATTCCCCGTCTATCCCTTTCCACATTCCCAGTCTTGGAACAGGCTGGCAATGGAAGCACTGTCTCCCTCACCTACTGAGGCCAGGTTCCAGATGGTCTCCAGCATCACATCGCTGTAGAGTTCCTTCTGAGCACGGTCCAGCAAGGCCCACTCCTCCAGGGTGAAGTTCACAGCCACATCATCAAAGACCACCGAGTCCTGCCATGTCAACAGACAGGTGAGAGTAACTGCACAGGAGCAGCACCCAGTGCATACACAGTTCAACAAGATCTTGGGGTCCCCCGACATCAACCCTGTGCCTCAGGTGTCACACCTCTTCCTAGCTATACCTCACTGCACGGAACTCATACCTGTATTTTACAAAGACCACTTCAAAGTCCTCTATATCCAAAGTGTTCAGACCACATTAGAGATACCTAAGAAATATTCGAGTGAAACAAACATTTCCATTGAAGGATCATCAGTCCTGATTACACAAACTATTTTTGCTTCATTCCCACTGCATACCTCTTCTCTTAGCACTTCAAGGACTGCAAGCCCAAACCTGGAGGAGGTTTTCAGGGATGGAAGCACCCTGAAAGCAGGGTGTGGTGGTACATGCGTGAGATTGGAAGGACTGTGGCTTGAGGACAGCCTAGACAAAAAGTTCACAAGATCCCCTCTCAACCAACAGCCAGATGTAGTGGTGCACACCTGTGGTCCCAGTTACACGGGGGCATAAATAGGAGGGTCACAGTCTATTTGCCCAGCCAGGTCTGGGCAAAAATGCAAGACCTTCCTGAGAAAATCACCAAAGGAAAAAGGGCTGAGGGCGTGGCTGAAGTGGTGGAGTACCTGACTAGCAAGTGGGAGGCCCTGAGTTCAAATCCCAGTACTGACCAAAAAAATTTGGTAAGGTAAAAATGATACCTCTGCACACAAGAGTGGTCTCACTAGCTGGAGGCACTAGCTGTTGGTTAATGAAAGAAGAAAAAAAGTGCATCCAGTGATACTTTTGGGTTTTGTTCTCTCCTCTAGGTAGGAGAAAAGAGGGCCCTATGTTTCCAAAGGTGAGCTTTGGGTGGGAAAAGAAATTGTGGAAAGTCTGCATTGCATTATGAGGGGAAAAAAACCAAATAAGTTTCCAGGGCTGGAAGAAAACATTAGGTACTTGGAAGAAAGAATGGTGGGGCCAGTGCAGCCTTCCCCTCCTGTTGCCACCCAGCCAAAGCCTCCTGTTCAGCCATGATCTCCCTGGGCTACTGGCTGATGAATGCAGTCAGGCCTTGGTGGTGAGTAGCACTGCATCCCCTAGAAGATGTGTCCATGCCCTACCTACCCCAGCACCTGACAGAGTGACTTAATTTGTAACTGGGGTCTTTACAGACATAAATCAAGATGCATCCACTCGGGTGGGGAGGGTTGGAGTCATGGCAAGAGGAGAAACAGGGCCTGGGGTGCAGCTCAGTGCCGAGCAACTCTTGCCTAGCACAAGCTAGGCTCTGGGCTTAGCCCCAGCATTGCAGAAAAGAGGAAGATGCCACACAAAGACAGAGACGCCAAGAACCTTTATAAATGCTGGGGGATCACTTCAATTAGTGTTATGAAAAAACAAAGAGAAGGGGTTAGTGAGACACAACTTCCTTGCTCTTTGCCACTGCATGGGTTCAAACCTAAACTCTAAGTATTGGAATAAGACAGGCCAGTGGCTCATGCTTGTGACCCTAGGTACGCAGGAGGTGGAGGCCAGGAGGATCGAAGTTGAAGGCCAATCTGGACAAAAAGGTAGGGAGACCCCATCTCAACCAACAGGCTAGGCAAGTTGGCTTACATCTGTGGTCCAAACCACACAGGAGACATAGGTAATGGGATCACGATCCTAGGTCAGCCCCAGGCAAAACCTTGAGAACATTAAGTGAAAAATAACTAAAGCAAAAAGGGGTTATGACTCAAGTGGTGGAGCTCAAGTGTGAGGCCCTGAGTTCAAACCCCAGTACTGCTAAAAAAAATAAAAATAAAAAAAGAGGTTAGATCTCCAGAACTAATTTTTACCATTGGAGGTGGTAAAGATGCAGGTGGAAAAAGTGGGAATGTCTTAATGGAGTTACACTGTCAGAGTTTTAAGTAGCAGCTTTTACTTTGTCAATGTGCTCTTAGGAAAACTTTCTTTTTGCGGTGGTGGGGATGGAACTCCAGGCCTCCTGCATGCTGGGCAGGTGCTCTCGCACTGAGCTGCATCACAGCCCTGGAAACTTATTTCTGATTTTGCTAAAAAGCTGATGGCGCTCAGGTCACATGTGCATTTTTTTTTCTTTTTTAAGGATGAATTGGGTCTCAATGTTGACAAAACGTAAAGGTCTTCAGAAAGAAAGTCCTGCTGTCAGCACACCCCGGGACCCCAGCTGGCTGGCCCTGCAGTGTCTCAGCTCCGCTGCTGTGGAAGAAAAGCCCCAGTGTTTCCTGGAATTCTCACCCAAGAACCTGTGCTGCCTGGACTTGACCCAGAGCACAAACCTGACATGCTCACTCCGGCTGCCCGGGAAGCAGCCGTGGCTCGGTGAGCTGGCCGTGGACGTGGGGAACATCGCAGTCTCCAGACCTCTTCTCCAAAGGCCCGGAGGTACTGCACGTTGAGGCCGCAGCTCCGTGTGAGGCGGGGCTGGCTTGCCCTCTGAGGCAGCCATGTGCCGAGGTCCTTTGCTCTGGTTTGGTGGCACAGGCTGGCCAAGCCCTACCCGACCCCAGCCCGGCCCTGGCGGGAGCATCTGGAATGATGTCACCTAGCCACCCTAGTAGTTCGCACCTCCTGAAGGGATTGTCCCCAACTGCCCACAATGCTTCCCAGGCACCAGCTGCAGAGCCTCCATCACACCGATGCTCTGGCTAAGGGGCAGCAGTGGGGACCCCAGTTCTAGAACTTTCCAGCTGAACACCTGCAGGTGTCATCCACACAGGTGTCATGGATGACAACACTGTCAGAGCTTCATTGTTTGGTCCACACTGAGAACCCCAGGACCAGGGGCTCCACAAGGAGTGCACACTGGGGACCCTGTGAACCCAACTGCCTGACCAGTGTGTCCTGTGTGGGGACACTAACCACTGTGAGCTCTGTGCTCCCAGGGGACTGTGTGTGCCCTCTGGAGCTTCCTATGTGTGCTTTCCCCACTGGGATTCATTTCAATGAAGTGGGGTGTCTCTGGTGAAATCTGCTTGTTTTACATCAAAGCTGGCCTTCTGTTCAGGGTATTATTTTTTAGTGTTTGTCAACTGTACATATGTCATTTGTATATATTTTATGTTATATTTTATGTGTTATATATATTGATTTATTATATATATTTATATTTTACAATAGAAAAGTTTTAAAACAGTTCATATGACTTGTCTGTAATCATTTTAAGTGCTGAAGAAAACTATTATATATATATATGTATATATGCATATATATATATTTTTTCTGTGGCACTGGGTTTGAACTTAGAGTCTACACCTTGAGTCACTCCACCAGTCCTTTTTTTGTGATGGGGTATTTTTAAGATAGGGTCTTAGGAACTATCTGCCTGGGCTGATTTCGAACCTAAATCCTCTTGATCTCTGCCTCCTGAGTAGTTAGGATTACAGGCATGAGCCACTGGTACGCAGCTACCTGTGTATCTATATATTTCACAGAGGTAGATACATTAAAAACCATTTCTTGGCATTATTTTTGCAGTACACATTGTTAGGTGAGCACTCAACTTGAGCCATGTGCTCGGACAATTTGCTTTGAGTCTGTTTTTCAGATAGGGTCTCAAGGTGACTTTGTTGAATCTGGCTTGTAACCATGACCCTCCTACCTCTGCCTCCAGGCTTGGGCCACCACACTTGGACCCTATTTTTGTTTTATTTTGAGACAGGGTCTTTCTAGGTGATGCAGACTGGCCCCAAATACTTCATCCTCCTGCCTCCTCCTCCCAAAGGTTGGGATTACGGGTGTGAACCACCACACCTGACTCTCACTTTCATATTTTTAACCTGAAATCCACTCCCTTGGGAATATTTTACCTTATCTTTCAGTTTCTTTCTTTTTTTTTTTTTTTTTTCTCCGCAGTACTGGGAACTGAACTCAGGGCCTTCACCTTGAACCACTCTACCAGCCCTTTTTGTGTGTGTGTGTGTGTGTGAGAGAGAGAGAAAGAGGGAGAGGAGGAGAGGGAGAGAGGGAGAGAGAGATGGGTTTTTTTCAAAATAGGGTCTTGTGAACTATTTGCCAGGCTGGCTTTAAACCTCGATCCTCCTGACCTCTGCCTTCTGAGTAGCTGGGATTAGAGGCTCTCCCAGCTCTGTTGATGAAACATGTTACACTGGCTGAAAAATCCAGGGTCCAACAGGAGAGTAAGTGTTTTTATGGAGACAAATGCAGAGAGGAGCACTACTGAACTGACCCCAGGGTGAAGTCCAGCCACTCTGTGCCCCAGACATCCACATCCCCCTGCTCATTCAGTAGCTTCCTGAACAGCGCCCCTGGCCCGTGTGCTGGCTGCGTGTCCCAAGTGCATTTTGCTTTTGAAGTCCCCACACTCCCTCCCGAGCTGGGTTTCTCTCACCTCTGCACTTGGTTTTCCCATTTCATGTGGCTGTGAGTGACAGGGGCCAGGGACCATTTCTGTCCCTGTCACCTTCCCTCCAGCATCCTGTAGGTCACAGAGGACTGATCCCCACTGAGTCTGCAACAGGGAACACCGGGCCCAAGGGTGGCCTTTCCAGGGGACAGGGCACCAGGCCACCCCACCCCACCCCGTCCAGGGAGGACCCCGCGGGGTGGGGGGGCAGTGGGGGCCCGGGCATCCCAGGCGGTGCTGAGACCACAGAGCGGCCAGGGCCCGTCGCAGGGATGTCGTGCGTCCTGCGATGTCGCCTTGGATGACACCGGAGGACAGGAGGGGCACGGGGACCTTACACGGGGCTCCGGCGCCCTGGGCAGAGGGGACCCCCGGACACCGGCTTCCGACGCCGGGGGCCTCGCGGAGCCCGGAGTGCCCGCCCCGTGCTGGCCACCGGCAGACTGAGGCCGAGAGCCCGGCGGCGGACAACGGGGGCCGGAAGGACCAGGCCCGCTCCCACCCCGCCCTGCCCGGGCTGGGGCTCCCGCCCGGCACTCACCATCCTCCGCCGCTCCCGGTGCCCAGGCCGTCCTCCCCGCGGCCCTGCCGCCACTGCAGGTGAGCTCCGGGATGAGACGCCTGGGCCCGCCGGAGCAGCGTCGCCCGCCTTCTGCCTTAGATTGGACAAGGCTGCCGACGTCTGTGCCCTGATTGGGCAATTACCTGACTCCCGCCCCTCAGCGCTCCTGATTGGCTAATACTCAGGGCACCGCCCCAGCTCTCCCGATTGTTCTCTGGGTACCGCCCCTGCCTCCCCTGATTAGATGGTTGCTTTAACTCCGCCCCCTATCGCCTGAGTGACAGGTGCGCCGGGAACGCTTCAGGCTGGCTGGGGCTTGGGACCGCTCACCTGAGTTAGTTCAGTTCCAGGCGGACACCGCTCCCTCTGTGTCCCTTCCTAGGATGGAGAGACCAGGTGTGCACGGGAACTCCAGACCGAGTCTCGCCTGGATGACGCCCATTCCCGGACAGGACAGGGCAGGTATCCTGGGGTGCTGTCAGGTCAGGGGACGACTCTGTCTGCGAGGTCGGCGATGCACACGAGCTCTTTACGAGCAAGGACACCCAGCCGGGCGCCGGTGGCTTTCGCCTGTAATCCCAGCTACTCAGGATAGAGATCAGAAGGATTGTGGTTTGAAGCCAGCCCGGGCAAATAGTTTGCGAGACCCTAACTCAAAAAAATCCATCCAAAAAAAGGGCTGGTGGAGTGGCTCAAGGTGTAGACCCTGAGTTCAAATTCCATTACTGAAAAAAAAAATGCAAGGACACTCAACACTGACGTCCCCACGTGGCTTGGGCCGCTCCATGCCGACGCTGCAGTCCCTAAGGGACGCCCCCCCCACAGCGTGTTCTGGACCCCAGGCCCCCCCGGGCTTCAGGACCCTTTGCACCATGGGGAGGCTGCAATGTGCCGCTCTTGCACAGACAAGGACTTCTCTCAGAATGGCCACAAGAGAGGAGGTCACTAAAATTCGCAGGTGTAGGTTTTTACATTGGAAAGAATTTATTTTAGATAACTCTCTGGGTGTGTCCCTAGAGAATTTTGAAAATAAAAAGGATATGATATTGTACAATAATAGGAGCGCACATAACACCATTGACGCGCACACTGTAAAATGGTCAGGATGGCCGCAGGTGCCGCTGCACTCCTGCAATCCCAGCACCCTGCAGCCTGAGGCAGAAGGATGGAGAGTTTTGGGTCAACCTGGGCTACATAGTGAGAACCTGTCTCAAAAATAAAATGTTTAGGGCTGGGCACAGTGGCACATCTGTGGGTGTGGAGATGGGGAGGATTGTGGTTAGAGCCCAGCCCAGAGGTCAGTGAGATCTCGCTCAATAAAAGCCGGGTCATCCCAGCTAAGGGGGATCCTCAATAGCAGGATGGAGGGCCAGGTCCAAACATGAACGGGAGGCTGTATCCAAATTATCCAAATAAAACTAAAGCAAGAAGGCCTGAGGCATGGCTAAAGCAATGCAGCACCTGCGTCGCAACTCTGGAGCCCAGTGTTTAACACTCACTACAAAAAAAAAAAGGTTAGGATGGTAATGTGTACTTTACCACAATTTTTTTGACTTGCATTTTTAAGAAAAGGGTATGATATCCTGAAGACAACTGAATTCCTATTGTAACTTGTATAGAGAAAACAAATAAATATAAGATGAACCTGAAAACTTTTTTTGGGCTTTGAACTCAGAGCCTACACCTTGAACCACTCCACCAGCCCTTTTTTGTAATGGGTTTTTTTTCGAGATAGGGTCTCATGAACTATTTCCCCGGGCTGGCTTCGAACCTCAGTCCTCCTGATCTCTGCTTCCTAAGTAGCTAGGATTACAGATGTGAACCACCAGCGGCCAGCTGTTTTTTCAATTTTTGATGGCACTAGGCTTTGAACTTAAGGCTTTGCTTTTGTTAGGCAGATGCTGTACTGCTTGAGCCTCACTCCCAGAAAGACATAAAAGTCACAGTCAGGTAACCCCAGGAATCACATAAGCTCGTTTCTTATTGTTCCACTGCATTACACATGCTATAGTCACCCCTTGATATCTAAAGGGGACAGTTTCCAGAGCGGGAGGAGTGGCTCAGCTGCCTGCCTAGCAAGCGTGAGGCCCTGAGTTCAAACATCAGTACCGCCAAAAAAATCCAAAACTACAAGTCTTTGTGTCTTAGCACATACTACATCACCACAGCAGAGCGTGAGCCAAAGTTAATTGACTGATAGGTGGAATGATTCAGGAAAACAATGAAACAATATTGAAACAAAAACCCTAACCAAGTTGCAAGTTGCAAGTTCTAAGCAGAATCCTTTTTTCAGCAGCTGAAGTGACCTGTGATGATTCTTGGCAAGATCCCACTCTGTGGTCGCATGCCCACTGACCAATCTTTTCTTTGTTTTTTGAGACGGGCTCACTAAGTAGCCTAGGCTGGCCTGGAACTCGCCATCCTCCTAAGTGCTTGCCTACTAAGTGCTGGGATTACAGGCGTACACTAGGTGCACTGACTGATCTTTTCCAAAAGTGCCATTCGCACGCCGGGTGTATGATCAGATGGCAATTTCGCTCATCCAAAGGCCCCTTTTCCGTCCTCGCCCTCGGAGCGTACAGGAGGTAACACGCGCGGGCTTGTTTTCCTGGCCAGCGCTGACACCCCAGGAGGTGGCCGCTGGGGCAGAAGGCTGTCCCACAGGCGATGATCTTACAGGCCCTGGGCTGGCGTGGGTTTTCTGGTGCGTGCCGAGGGAGGAGCTCTGGCTGAAGGCCTTCCCGCACTGGCTGCAGCGGTAGGGCTTCTCCCCGGTGTGCATCCTCTGGTGCCGCACGAGCGAGGAGCGCTGGCTGAAGGCTCTCCCGCAGCGGCCGCACGCGTAAGGGTTCTGGCCGGTGTGCGTGCGCTCGTGCTGGTTGAGCGAGGAGCGGTCGCTGAAGGTCTTCCCGCAGGCCCCGCACGCGTATGGCTTCTCCCCGGTGTGCGTCCTGTGGTGCCGGGTCAGCGAGGAGATGCGGTTGAAGGCCTTGCCGCAGGCCCCGCACGCGTGCGGCCTCTCCCCGGTGTGCGTCCGCAGGTGGCGGGTGAGCGTGGAGCTGTGCGTGAAGGCGCGGCCGCACTGCCCGCACGCAAACGGCTTCTCCCCGGTGTGGATCCTGCGGTGCTCATGGAGCGAATGCCACTGGTTGAACAGCTTTCCGCACTGGGGACACGCGTGGGGCTTGTCCACCACGCTGAGTTTGTTGTGCGTGGCGAGAGCCAGCCCGTGACCCAGGGCTTCCCGGCGATGCGGGTGTCCCCCTATCGGGGTTCTTTTCCGCTCAGAAAGCTGAGCGTTGTCGAGGCCCAGGGCCTTTGCACAGCTGCTCCTGTCCCATACTCTGGGATCTGCACAGCCCACGTGGGGGCGGCTGGGGCTGGACTCAGATGCCAACCCCACAACACCCTGGTCGCAGTCACCTAAGGCTTTTCCAATAGAGTTTTCCCGGGACAAAACAAGGTCGGAGCTCAGACACCCGTTTTCCCCAAATGTAGGCCAAGCTCTTTCCTGAGCACTGGCCTGGATTTGGACGTGCACCATTTGCCTCAAGGGGCCCTGGGGGTCTTTGTGGTTCTTCTCAGACTGGCCTCTTCCCTGGTCTCTTCTGGGGAGCCCGAGGCTGCTCACCCCCGATGGCTCTGTGCCCACGCACACCTGCTTGGAGGTGCACCCCTGCCTTTGCACTCCAGTATCCGGATCTGAAATAAATCAAAGGGAAAATTCTGAAGGAAGAAACTGCTAACTTAAGTACAGAGGGGAAAAATTCTCTCTTTCTTGGCAGTACTGGGGCTTGCTCTCAGGGTTAGCACTCTGTCACTTAGCCACACCGCCAGTCTGGCTTTTAGCGTGTCTTTCAGATAGGATCTTATGCTTTTGGCCTGGCTGCCCTCTGACTGTGATCCTCCTACCCCCGCCTCCCGACTACCCCGGATTACAGATGTGAGCCACCACACTCAGCAGTAGAAAATGCACTTTCACCATATACAAGGTCCTTGTGGGTTGATGCTCAACCATCGGCTTCCAACCAGGGGTAGGGTGGGAGAAGGAGAGGCAGGTCAGGGAAGGAGGAAGGCGGATGCGGGCTAAGGAGTCTGGCAGTGATGCTGGGGCCATGGTTGAAGTGGTAGAGTGCTTGCTTAGCAAGCACAAAATCCTGAGTTCAAACCCCAGTTCTGCCAAAAACAAGTATGGCAACTAGAGAGGAAGAATGGTGTAACGTAGGAGGGACTGCTCTAGAAAGAGAGAGAGGGGGTCACCGAGACAGCACAGCAGAAAGACAGCACTACACACAGGCCAAGGGCTGCAGGGAGGACGTGGAGCTCTTTTCTGCCCCACAGGGACAGGACCAGGCATGCGTGGAAGGAGAAAGGTGCCGGGAGGTGAACCCAGGCACCTCTGCACTCTCCTCTGAGTCAGGGCCTTGGTGAGAACATGGTAGGCAATGACCCATGTCTCCGGGATTCTCACCTGCACAGCCAGCTTGGGAAACAGATTTTCCCTCTGTGCACATGGCTGCTTGCACCAAGTGGAAAGACGCCACTGCTGGAGGACGCGAACGCTCTGTCCACAGGGAGAGGCTGACTTGCTGGGTCTGTGCTAGGTGAAGTGGACCCCTGCCGGGCTCACTGCTGAGAGTCTTCAAGGCTTCTGTGAGAGAGGAAGACAGACAGAAATCCATCTGATTCATACAAAATACAGCACAGAGCTCTGAGTTCAAACCCCAGTGCTACCAAAAAAGAAAACCATATAGTAAAAATACAAAATAAATTTCAAAAACAATTTTCTTTTTGGTGGCACTGGGGTTTGAACTCAGTGCTTTGCACTTGCAAAGCAGGAGCTCTACCGCTCGAGCCACACCTCCAGTCCATTTTGCCCTGGTTATTTTGGAGATGGGGTCTCGACAACTTTTCCCAGGCTGGCCTTGAACCGTGATCCTCCTGATCTCAGCCTCCCACGTAGCTGGAATTATAGGTGTGAACTACTGGGCACCCAGCTCAAACGTGAAAATGTTCATTTCTGCTGGAGAATTCTGTAGCTCAGTGGATGGGGGAGTGACTCAGTTGGTCCCTGTTATCGCCATGTCATCGCCATTTGTGTTAACATCCTTGTGTGAACTGCTGAGTGCATCCTTGCTTTTCATTTTGTGAAAATCTGCCTCCCAAAGAGCACTTGGGGCTCAAAAAGCCAGGTCAAAGTGAATGTGCTTCACTGAAGTACTAAAGTGACAATCTGAGATTCGTTGTGAGGTAGCTTGTCACCGGTGGAAGTTGGGCAGCCTCATGGGAAAAATGAATCAAGCATGCACAGTGCCGCTCGTTAGCAGAAAGAAAAGACACACCCTGACTGTGGTCCCAAGAGGGAGCAGGAGTACCTGTGCCTCTGCTGAGAAGTGTGACTCGAGCCACTCCAGCCGTCATGCACTGACACAAGGTCATGCACTCCATCAGAGACCTGGGGACATGGACTGCCACAGCCACAACCGGGTCTGTGGTGCTCACCTTCCACCCCTAGCTCCCAGCGTGGCAGCACAGCATGCAGCAGCTTCAAGTAAGTGAGAACAGTGACATGGCCTTACCCAGGCAGCCCACGTTGTGGTAGGTCTCCAGCATCACCTCTCTGTACAGGAGCCTCTGAGCAGGGCCCAGCAGCTCCCACTCCTCTGGGGAGAAGTCCACAGCCATGTCCTTGAGGGTCACCAGTTCCTAGAACATCACAGCAGTTCTGTTCCAAATGGGACCCTGTCCCACCCTCTCTCACAGGAGGAGGGGGTGGATGGCGGCCCTGGGGAAATTCAGAGGGATCAGGGTGCAAAGTCTCCATCTGGAGATGGAGACTTTGGGGTTGCCCCTGTGGCACTGGGGATACTGAGCAGGCCATTCTGTAAGGACATCCTGGGCCCTGCTGAGCAGTGTCTCTGGCCTCCACCCGCTTGGTGTCAGGAGCACCTTCAATGTGACAGCCACACTTACCTGGACATTACTATGCGTTCTAGAGACAGAGTCACCCATGAGTGAGACCCACAGCTGTACCCTTAAACTCTTATCTCCTACCTGAGCTCCATCATGCCAATGTCTGTGAACTTGGCTTACACTGTTGCCTCAGTGGAATATTCTCTCCTTAAAGTCCTTCAAAAGGACCAACCCTAGCCCGGCACAGTGGCTCACACCTGTAATCCTAGCTACTCAAGAGGCAGAAACCAAGGATCACAGTTCCAAGCCAGCCAGGCAAATAGTTCATGAGACCCTATCTCGATAAAACCCATCACAAAAAGGACTGGTGGAGTGGCTCAAGTGGTAGAGTGCCGACCTAGCAAGTGTGAAACCCTGAGTTCAAACCCCAGTACCATCAAAAAAAGGATTAAACTTGCCCAAAGTAAGGTCTGGCCTTCTGCCCCCAGCTCTGTCATCTGCACTAACAATGACATCGAGGGTAGAGGGTTGGAGCATGCAGTGCAAGCTGTCCGGAGGGGCTGGAGTCTGAGGACAGCCACACTAGGAGGGTCAGCTTTGTGTACATGACCAACCCCTCCAATAAAGATCTGAACACGAGCAGGGTGCAGTGGTGCATGCCTGTAGTCCCAGCTGCTCAGGAGACTGAAGAAGGAGAGTCATCTGAGCCCAGGAGTTTGGGACCAGCCTGGCAACACTGTGAGACCCCATGTCACAAAGGAAGAAAAATAGTTTAAAAGTTCCGAACGTGAAGGCTTGGGCAGGCCTCCCTGGTTGCCCAAACCCTGTGTGCAGGGTCACATGGGAGAAGTAAGAGCTGTCATGTGATTCCATTGGAGACGACCCCTAGAAGCTTCTGGCTGCTGTCTCCCTGGCTTCTCCTGGTTGCCATCTGCCCTGCGTGCGTCTTCCCGGGGCTAATCCTCATTGCACCCTTCCACGCTAGTAGGCTGTGACCATGACTGTAACAGCTCTGCTGAGGGCTGTCTTTCTACTAAATTATTCAACTTGAAGATGGTTTTAGGGATGCCTGGGAATTTACAGTTCTCACCTATCCAGCCCCAGGCTCTGGGCATTCCCAGCCGAACTCAACTGTCACTTTTCCATGTCACTGTCCAACCCCACTGCTAGAACTACCCTCGTTCCCCCCTCTTGACCCCACTCAGCCTTCACAGACTGGAAACCCTGTGTCCGTCTGCTTGGGAAGACTGATTTGTTCCTCTCTTCCAACAAGAAATTGAAGGGAGGAGAGAATTATTGAGAGCTAGTAGGCACTCACATCCTTCCCTTTGTCCCCAACGACAGAAACCTTGGTAGGCACGGGCACATGGTGAGGGCTCTTGTGTCTGAAGTATCATGGGTGGTGGGGGGAGCGCTTACACAACTGAACTAGACTTTGTTTTGTGTTTTAATGTAAACACAAGAAAGAAGAAACATGAAAGTTGCAGAATTCTTTTAAAAATAAAACTGTGCTGCCAGATGCCAGTGGCTCACGTCTGTAATCCTAGCTACTCAGGAGGCAGAAATCAGGAGGATCAGGTTCGAAGCCAGCCCAGGCAAATAATTCTCCGAGACCCTATTTTGAAAAAAACCATCACAAAAAAGGGCTGGTGGAGTGGCTCAAGGTGTAGGCCCTGAGTTCAAACCCCAGTACTGTGCAAAAACCAACTGTGATCATAGAAAAATGAGCAAACACAGAAGGATGCACACTGCAGGACTCCACTCACAGGAAGTCCTGAGAGTTGTCAGAGCCACAGAGACAGGAAAGTAGATGGTGGGTGCCGGGGACTGGGGAGGGGAGGGGATTAGTGCTAAATGGGAAAGAACTTCAGTTTGGGGACATGGAAAGTTCTGGAGATGGGTAATGGGGACAACTGCACAGCCATGTGAATGTGCTTAATGCTGAACTGTGCACTGAAAAATGGTTAAGAACACATTTTTGGAAATGTGTATTTTATCATAATTAACAAAAAAATTGATAGTACTGAGGTTTGAGCTCAGGGCCTTGCACTTACCAAGCAGGTGTATTACCACTTGAGCCACACCTCCAGCCCTTTTTGCTTTGGTTATTTTTTAGATAGGGTCTCCTTTATGCCTGGGCTGGCCTGGACCATGATCTTATTTTAGGCTTCCTGCTGTAGCTGGGATGACAGGCATGCACCACCACACCCAGGTGTTTATTGGTTGAGATGGGGTCTTGTGAATTTTTTTGCCCAGATGGCCTCAAAACACAATCCTTCTGACCTCTGCCTCCGTCTCTGCCTCTGCAGCTAGGATTATAGGCATAAGTTACCATGCCTGGCCTCATGACTCAATTTTTTTTTGTGGGGCTTGAATTCAGAGCCTTCATCTTGAGCCACTCCACCAGCCCTTTTTTTTGTGACGGTTTTTTTTTAAGATAGGGTCTTGCAAACTATTTGCTGGGCTGGTTTTGAACTTTGATCCTCCTGAAATCTGCCTCCTGAGTAACTGATTACAGATGTGAGCCACCAGTGCCTGGCTCAAAATTTTTAAGTAAAGAGAAAAGTGCTTTCCTGGGCAGCCTTCCCCACTCTGTGGGACAGTGCTTAATCCCAGCCTTGGGATGGACATATACCTGTTTCTTAGGGAAAGGAGCTGGACTCTAGCCATTCATAGGTATCTTGCCTTACCTTTAGATGAAGTGTGAGTACCTGGCCCCAAAGGCTCATGGGAATGCTCCCAAATTTCCCACAAGGCAGGGACGGTCCTTCTCTGTGAAAGACTCAGTTTCTGATGAGTTTGTTCCCTTCAGGAAGAGGGGGAGCCTCTGAGGAGGAACGGACTCTCACCTGGGACCAGGGAGGCAGGTACCCAGCAGCCATTCTGTCCTCTTGTTAAAAATCAGGTTCCTGGGAGGGCAGAGCTGCGGGAGAAGAAAGGCTGCGATGAAGACCAGACTTGGTGGTGCCCAAATCCCAAAATCCTTGGCTAGAGACCTGCTCTTCTCCCTGGTGGTGAGTGGTCAGTGAACATCAGACTGAGCCAGGGCTCTGTTTTATGGATGAAGGTTCTGATGCTCCTGGAGGCCACCAAGTCACCCAAGTTCATTCAAGCGTCCCTGGCCTCCACCCACTCCATGCGAGGAGCATCCCTAGTTGTGACAGCCACAAATGTCCCCAGACATCGCCCAGCCTGCGCTGAGGGCAGACAGCCCCCACTTGGGAGCCCCCGATGTAGCCCCCAGAGCAGATCCTGTGGTCCGGCATCGCAGCCCTCCGTGCCTTTAAGATAAAGAGCCGCTCAGGAGGCAGAGATCAGGAGCATCACAGTTCGAAGCCAGCCCCAGCAAATAGTTCTGGAGCCCTTATCTCGAAAAAACCCTTCACAAAAAAGGGCTGGTGGAGTGTCCAAGGTGGAGGCCCTGAGTTCAAGCCCCAGTACTGCAGTGCAAAGAAAAAAAAAAAAAAAAGATAAAAGAGCCGTGGTTTGTCCCTTGCGCATTCCTAGGTCTCCACACTCGTACTAAGGGTTTGCTCAGTGTCCCTTGTCATTGGCTGTTCCACAGGGAAAGTCCGACCTGGCCATTCGGGGAGCCAGTGGCCTGACCGAGCTGTCTTCAGACTCCCCATGTCACCTCTTGCAGGTGACAGGTGAAGCCACACCGGACCTCCCAGGCCCCGCCCCACTGACCTCCCCACACCCGGGCCGGCAGAGACAGGACAGGCTGACTCCTTGCGGGGAGTCCCTCGGTGCGGGACCCAGATGCAGGTGCAGGTGATCATGAGCGCGCGGTCACGTACCACCCGGGGCCCTCATCCCCACCGCAGCCCTGCAGATGCTGGACGCCCCCAGACGCGCGCAGGGAGTGTGCGCTGCGCACGCGCGCCGTGAACTACAATTCCCAGCAGGCCCGGGGCGCAACGCCTTTTCTCAGCGCCGGGGAGATCTGGATCACAGCGCCCCCTCTCAGGATGGGCGGTGTCTCCGCAGGCTTGGGAATTCACCTGCTGCTCCTGCTTCCCCCTTCCTAGCTCTGAGGTTTGCAGAGCTCGTCCTTGGGTTCCGACTCAGTACCTACGGCCTTGCAGTCAGCTTCAGAGGTGTTTCAGAGCTGACTCGTGGCTGATCCGTACCTCCAGTGCCAGATGGGCTCGCGGAGGTACCCAGTTTCATGGGTTGCCCTGGAAAATAGGTGAGAAACCTATTTCTACTTTCTCTGTTCCTTCAGTTTTCTGTTCCTTGCTCTTCATTGGTTAGCTCAGCACAACCACCTGCGTCCTGCAGCCGACCACATTTGGAGTTGTGATCACTGTGGCTCTTTCCACTGTCTTGCCCAAAACTATTGGTCCCCAATTCAGGGCTTCTGAGCTGCATTTTGCCCTCAAGTGCTAGGTTATCTTGCTAAGGCCAGATAGGAACTCTCCACAAAAGAGAAAGAACAAAGCCTGCTGGGGACTGGCAGAGTGGCACAAGTGGTAGAGAGTGCCTAGCAAGTGAGAGACCCTGAGCTCAAACTCCAGTGCTGTCAAAGCAACAATAAAAGTACAAATAAAGCAGGCTCGAGAAAATGTGAGCATCAGAGAAAATGACAAACATTTGGCCAATAGATCATACTGTTCTTGCACAGCAATGTTGAGCAAAAAGAATGCATTAACTTTACCCAGTTAAAAAAGTCTGTCCTTGGGGCAGGCCTGTGGTCCCAGCTGCCAGGAGGGGGAGGCAGGAGGGTCACCAGTTTGGGGCCAACCTGGGCTACTCAGAGAGACCCTGTCTCAAGAGAGAGGGAGGAGAGAAAGAGAGGGAGAGAGAGATTAAGGGAAACCACTAGCCAGGTGATGATCGCTCACACTGTAATCCTAGCTACTTGGGAGGCTGAGATTGGGAGGAACATGGTTCGAGGCCAGCCCAGAAAAATAGTTCTTGGGACCCTCATCTCCAAAATAACCAGAGCAACATGGGCTGGAGGAGTGGCTGAAGTGGTAGAATGCCTACTTTACATGCTCAAGGTCCTAAGTTCAAATCCCAGTCCCACCAAGAAAAAAAAAGGGAAAGCACTAAACTCCAACACCAGTTTTGGGATCTTGATGTTACTTTAGCCTTTACATCTGTTTTTTAATTCTGTCATTTAGTCCTTTATTATTTGTGAAATGGCTCTTTTCCCTGTTTCTTCAAATACCTCTCGAGCAGCTCAGTGGTAAGCACATAGGTGAGCCTACTGACCCAAACCCGGGAAGTCATGGTCTCTCGAGTTATAGCTCATCCACTCATTGTTATCATCCATGACACGAATTCATCCTGCCTATCTTCCATCACAAGGGTCATATTAAAAAAGGTGTCATCTGAGGTTGGTGAAGCAGGTACTGTCTCAGACCCTGTCACATTGGGGAAGCAGGGCTCAAAGACAGCTCAACACTAGCCACAGAGATTTTCCTCCATGCTCCAGTAGACACCATTCAAACCCAGTGCTATAGCCAGGCGTGTGGTTCACGCCTGTAATTCCAGCAGTTGGGAGGCTGAGGCAGGAGGAGCTTGAGTTCCAGGCTAGTCTGGGCTACAGATCCTGTCTCAAAAAAACAAAGCAAACCAGGAAAAAAAAGAAAAACACTTACCTCAGTGTTTCCATTGCAATCTCTTGGTGTTGCCACATGTCGTTCAACACAGTAGCCGCCACCCACATGTGGCTATGGAGTCTTTAAATATACTAAGTCCAAACCGAGACCCGCTGGGTTAGAAAGTAGCTACTGGATTCCACGGACTTTGCTGGAAAAAAGGGATGTATCATCATAGCTTCTGACACTTTGGGAGGGTATTTTGGCCACATTGAGTGAAATAAATTATTAGTTGATTTCACCTGCTTCCTTTTGCTGTGATACTAGACTCAGTGCATTTTCTTCAGAATGCTCTAGAACACAAAGACATCTGCCAGGCGTCCTACAGTGGCTCCCATCCAGGTTCCTTCCAGAGCATTCTCTAGGGCAGAGGCCTTGAGTGTGAGATGCAGTGAGGCCCTGCCACCTGCTGGACACGGCTAGTTGTGCAGCCACTGACAAGTACTCATTGGGGACTGTTGGTTGGGGTGGCTCAGAATCCAGGATTCGGTAGATGTGGCTTAGGTGGTGCTCTGGGCCCCCCACACAGGGCGGGGTGGGCGGCTGTTCGCAACAGGTGCGGGCACGGGGAAGTACATACTGGGTTCTGTGGTGAAGAGGCCCTAAGAAATCGAGTAAGGAGATGAAGGGAGCAGGTGGGGGCAAGCATGGTCCTGTCTCAGGCTGGTGGCCTCTGATCGGCCCTTGCAAGCACTCACCACTAAGCAACACAGTGGCTCCTTGGGGTCATTTTTATAAGGGCACTATGACAAGTATCGAGGGTTTATTTTGGCTCACTTTGCCCAGGGCTGACCTCTGTTCCCTGACAGAGGCAGAGTCACTCCTGGACAGCAAGCTGGGTGTGGGCAGGGTTGGCACATGTGGGACAGCAGATGCAGCAGGCCACTGAGCTTTGCCTCCTCTCAGAGCCAATGCCCACTCCCAGCCCCCCAAATGCTCTGGCTCCATGACTTCAGCACCCCCAATCCAAGAAGGCAGCCCAGGCTGCAGATTTGGGGGTGGGAGACACTACCAGGGCTCCTCTGTAAGTACTAAGGCTCAGAGGCAAAGGCTGGCGACTTATGTGAAGACAGGGTGGACAGGGGCCTGCACACAGGTGCCCATTTGCCTGCGGCCTGAGCCCAGCTCACCGGCAGCTGCCCCAGGGCATGTCTGGATCTGTGCAAGGCCAAGGGGGAGCCCACCTGGGGGTGGGAGGCAGGGAGCACCCCTCACCAGGCTGAGGCTCCCCACAGGTCTCGGTGGGCTCCCTTTGGGTTTTCTTTTTTTCTTGAGCCCCAGGGTTTTGTTTTTTTTCTCTCCCTCTCTCACTGCATATCTTCCCATTCACAACAGACCAGGCTCAGGCAAGGCTGAGGTATGTATGGGGTGGGTAAGAATGCAGCCTGTGGTAAGCAGCCAGAGGCAATCCAGGTATTTTAAGCCCAAGCAACAGCTGCCGAGGGCCCAGTATCAGTTCCACCCACATGGCTGCCAGCTCCCTCAGGGCCCAAGGCTTTAAAGTCACATGAAGGGGAGCAGGAAGCTGGGCTAGGTGCGCCAGGTGGGGCGGGAGGCGGACCTCACAGCCCACGTCCACGGCTGGCCATGGCTAGAGAATGGCATGAAAGGGACGGCAGAAGTCCCATCCACCTGGAGCGGAGTCCAGGGGTCTGACAACCTGCTCAGGCCTCGAAGGGCCCACTGCCTGTCCCCTCATGGAGGGCTGAGGGAGGCAGCTCCTGAGAAGCTCACAGCCACTGAAGAACACACGCACCATCCTGCACATCCTGTCCTGCAGCACCACTGGGAGCCCCGGTCAGAACTTTGCTGTCCAACAGCCGTGGACGCCATGAGGCAGGCATGGCCACTGGTGACTACTCAGAAGGCAGCACACTCTGGCCACGACGTTCCTCGGGTGCTTAGGGGGCAGCCTTTTTGTGGGCAGGAGGGAGGTGGCTGCTGGCAGTACAGGCCCGCATCCCAGGAGGCTGCTGCTCTGTTGGCCGTTCAAGCACCCAGGGGCTACCTGGGCTTCCAGTTCTCTAAGAGCTGAGCTCGGTTCCACAGTGGCTGGGACAGTGCTGACTGCAGCAGGGAAGGAACTTTCCAGAATTATACTAGGCAAGATGTTGGCAGGAAGCAGAAGTCCCTGAGAATGTAGTCCCAGCATTGCAGCCTGGTCGGACAGAACCAGGGCCCTTCCATGCTTCCTAGCCATGGGTTGACCCCCTCCAACAGCTCAGCTGTCCCAGGTCCCCGTCATAACCAGAGGGCTAAGCAGGACAGAGCCAAGGGTGCTCCCACAGCCTCTAATGGAACCCAGGTGGGTCCCACCATCCCACAAGCAAGAGGGCGAGGCAAAAAGATCAGGCCAGGGAGCCCCTTCTGCTTCAAGTGTTTAATGGCTGCCACTCACAGAAGAGCCATCTTGCAGGACCAGGACGCCACCCGGGGAGGGAAGTGTTAGTGCAACAAAGACAATGCCCACCTGGGCACGAGGGCTCTCCAGACACCTGGAGGACAGGCTTTCTAGCCCGGGCTGGTCCCTGACTACAGGGGATCCAGAGTCTGGATGTGACAATGATGAGAAGCTGCCCCGTGCTCACCCTGCCTGCCAGGCCCCAGGAGCGCCATGGGCAGCCACCATCCGGGGCTAGGACTAAGGCACAGGGCGGCAGGGACATGGGCTAGGTGTGAGGCTCTGTATGTGCCATCAGCAGGAGGCTGGCTCGCTGCCCTCCACCTGCAGCCCTTTGCTCAGGAGGAAGGCATCCTGCTTAGGGTCTCGGCCCAGGAACAGCTTCAGCATGGCACTGGCATCCTCGGAGCCACCAGGCCTGAGGATGCTGGTCCTGTAATCCATGCCGACCTGCAGAACAGAACCCAGAGGACTAAGGCCAGGAGGGTGCAAAAGGAGGCACCAGGGCAGACAGCCTGGGTCTCTGTTCACCCCCACCATACTCCAGGGGAGGCCTGTGGGTGTCATGTGGGCTTCGGCACCATGAAGAGACACTGCAGACTCACTCTGAGGGTGCACCCTGCTGCATACGCAGGGACTGGAAGAACTGGTGTCCTGCACTGCAGTCTGAAATCCTTAATGGGGTCAAAAGTAGAAAGAAGGACCAGGTGCGTGGAGCCTGAGCTAAGACTGCTAGGCTTACTCTACCAGGGACACAGTGGCCAAGGGTTCAGGCTCCAGTCCTGCCCTCCCCTAGTTGGCTGTGGTACCTGGGAGTTGGTGGCCAAGGACTCGCCAGGACTTATTCCTGGTCCTGGGTGGCAGGACACATGACTGGTATAGCCAAGATCCTTCCCAGGAGTCCTCCGTCCAGGACACCCTCCCAGCTGTCCCTATCATCCCTCACCTTGCGGTTCAGGACCCCCTCCTGCTTGAAGCGTGTGTGGAACATGTCCATGGAGTACACCTCACTCCACAGGTAGCCATAGTACTGGGCATCGTAGCCTCCGCCAGGTGGCCAAAGGTTGCCGGCATGTTGGTCCCTGGACAGATACACAGTGAAGCTTAGAGTACAGCTCACTGCCAGCCTCGGTGCTTCTCCCAGGACAGAGGACACCCAGCAAGCCCCACTTGGACATGGCAGCAAGTGCAAGTCTGATGGTGAGCGTGGGCCAGGGGGGTGTGTGGGTCAGGCATCCTGAGCTCTGAAGGATACAGAGCAGTATCCCCAGTCCACCCAAACCATGCTGGTTGTGACAACCACAAACATCCCTGACATGGGAAGCAGACCTCTGGGCCAGGAAAGGTTCCCCGTGGCAGGTATTGGCTGCACCACAGAGAGACCCTGGGAACTGGGCCCAAGCAGCCCAGGCACTGTAGGGGAGGAGCCTGCACTCAGAGCCTCAGGTGACACAAGGACATGGATCACCAGCACTGGTGCATTAGCCACACTGCAGAGCCAGAGTAACAGGCCTAAGCGTGAAGGCAGCACAAGGCCAGGGACCCGGTGAGCCTGGCTCCTGTAGAGGGAGTCTCTGCAAGGAGCTGCAGCTAGAGTGGGGGCTGGTGCAGAGCCTGTGGGCCACTCAGTTCACTCCCTTCACATGCTGCGGGGTCCCTTATGATCCAGAGTGGCTGTGAATCCGCATTTCTGGTGGACCCAGCTTGTGAGCAGCTACCTGGTGTGGCTGGGACCCCGAGGATCTCCTGGCAGAGCCGGGCGTACTCCTCAGCGGGGTCTGCTCCTATCTGTGTGTGCAGGGCCTGGTCCACCTTAGCGAGGACGATCTGGCGCAGGTTGAAGAGACCTAGGTGGATGGACACCAGAGGCTGGGTTAGGTTAGTGTACCAGGACCTGGCAGGGGACGGGGCAGGTGTGGGGGTGGAGGCCGCACCTGTGTTGGCTTGCCGTGACTGGATGAGCTTGTCCAGGAGTTCCTGGGGGACGGCACTGCCGGTGCGGTAGTGCTGGACATACGCAGCAGCGGCTCCTTCTCCCACACCCAGTTCTCTAGCATCTGTGACGGCGCCTCCACAAAGTCACGCTCCACATGGGTCCCGCTGAACATGGCAAACTCCGCCTGTGGCAGTGGGCAGAGTGCCTCAGGAATGGCCTGGCCTCACAGGCCAGCAGGTGACAGGCTGGATGTAGCCCTCCCTCCCAGCAGCCTCAGCAGCCTGGCTGATGCAGATGAAATCCCTGGTCAGCCTGTCCCAATGTGGGGCACACCTGAAGATGGCAGCCATGCACACCTGCCCTGCTAGCCACCCACACTCCTCTCCCCTGTCCAGAACTAATGTCTAGAAAGCTCTACATCCCACAGAGAGGGGAACCAGTGTGGCAGGTGAAACAATGTCCTTGACCAGATGCAAAGCAGCACAAATAAGATTAACACTATGGATAGGACTTCATCCAAGTTGAAAACTTGTGCTTGTCAAGGTATTATCCCTACAGGAGACTATTACTCAGCCATGAACAGTAATGAGGCTCTGATCCAAGCTACAATGTAGAGACCTTGAGGACACAGTGCTCAGTGAGAAGCAGACACACAAGGGCATACAGTGTGACTCCATTGATAGAAAATGTCCAGAACAGGCAAATCCAGAGACAGGAAATGGATTTCTGGGGCCAAGGACTGGGGAGGGCATGGGGTGACTGCTCACAGGGATGGGGCTTCCCTTGGGGTGATGGAATGTTCTGAGGATGGACTGCACTGAGGGCTGCACAACTTGGTGAAGTGGTTAAAATCAACAGCACCCAGTGCCCACATATTCCTGCTACCAGGAGCAATGGTGTCCCATGTGTGTGCAAGACAGAGATGGGGCATTCACTGGTGCAACTGGGGCCCAGGGCACAGACAGGAGGCTGGGAGCCCAGAAATCCTGGTGGCTCCCACCATGACCACTGAAGGCCTATTAAGGGCAGCCACTATGGACTTCCTGAGTCTCAGGTCTGCCCAGAGGGTCAGCACCCACCTCTCTGGGTTCTGCATTCACGTGATCCAGTGGGGGTCCCAGGGCCTCACTCTGGCCTCCACCCTGGCTCTCCCTGGGTCCTTTGGACGTGGTGCTCACTCAGCGCTTGTGGGACTGAGGTCTCTGCTCTGAGCACACTGCAGGGAAATGATGCCATCACCCCCATCTCTGTGAGAGACTGATAGGCTGGCTGTTGTCTCCAAAAGTTACATATTCAGATCCTCCCCCTGGCACTTCAGATTATGACTGTGTTGGCAGACAGGGTCTTTCAACAAGAAAGTAAGGTCCAATCTGCTTGCCTGGTGTCCTTATAAGAGGCATCAGCAGGGTGCCATAGCTCATGACTGTAATCCTAGCTACTTGAGGATCAAGGATCAAGGCCAGTCTGGGCAAGTAGTTCATGAAATCCCCATCTCCAAAATAACCAGAGCAAACTGGATTGGAGGTTTGGTTCAAATAGTAGAGTGCCTGCTTTGCAAATGTGAAGCTGAGTTCAAACCCCAGTCCCACCAAAAAAAGAGAGAAGAGGAAGAGGAAAGGAGGAGAAGGAAGAAGCGAATGAGAGTAAGAGAAGAGAAGAGAGAGAGAGAGAGAGAAAGAATGACCATCAGCAGGGTGCAATATAATCCTATCTACTTGAGAGGTGGAGATCAGGAGGATCACAGTTCAAGGCCAGCCCAGGCAGAAAGTTCAAGAGACCCCATCTCAACAAAAAAACTGGGCATGGTGGTGCATACCTGTTATCCCAACTATTCGGGAAGTGTAAATAGGTGAATGTAGTTCAGGGACTCGATTCAAAAAATAAAGCAAAAAGGGCAGGGGTGTGGCTTAAGTTGTACAGCGCCTGTCTAGCAAGTGTGAGGCCCTGAGTCAAACCCCAGACCTACCAAAAAAAAGGAGGAAAACATGCATAAGGAATGAGGATACAGGGAGAAGATGGGCTACAACCCAGAGGGCTACAAGAAGCCAGCCTGTGACACCTTCAGCTTGGACTTCTGCCTCTAGGACTGTGACAACATGAATGCAGAAGTCAACTACTTTGTGGCACTTGTGGCAGCCTCAGGACACTAATACAAGAGTGCCAATACAAGAGCTCTGTGGCAGGATCAGACACAGTTGGGGGGAGGGGTACAAAGAGACGAGGCCCAAAAAGCCCAACCGTGGGCTGCACCTGGGAGCAGAGCTGGTGCATGACGTGACCGAACTCGTGGAAGTAGGTCTCCACCTCGTCGTGCTGCAGCAGGGACGGGGTGCCTGGTGTGGGCTTCGTGAAGTTCGCCACCATGGCCGCGATGGCTATCTGGCGGCTGCCATCTTGCCGCAGGCAGCCCGGCTGCAGGCCGAAGCAGGCTGCGTGTCCATACTTCCCTTCCCTGGGGAGGAGCATGGGGTCAGGCCAGTGTCTGCCACACTGGCTCAGGGAGGGTCCCTTGCCCCATCAGGTGATGGAGACTGCTGGACATACTGAAAGCCCAGACTTCCTCCTCACCAGGAGCACGGCCACTGCCCATGGCCCTCACTCCTTGGGCAGAGTCCCCTGGGGTGCTGCCCCAGCACTCAGGCCATGGCTCCAGGCCCCTGGCCTCCACAGAGCTGTGGCTGGGGGACAGAGGGGTATGATAGTGACAGCCAGCTGTCAATGGGGTCAGGTTCCCAGTGCTCTGTCCCATGGTTTATCCCTGGAAGTGAGACTTCCCTGGCTCTGTGACTGGGGAGGCCTGCTGGCCCACCTGGGGTAGAGGTCCAGGTAGAACTTGCCGATCTCCTCCCCTGAGGAGGCGTCACGCACTGAGTACAGCCGCACGTCCTCGTGCCACACAGCAGCGCCCTCCTCCAAGGCGAAGGTGAGCCCGAGGAGCTCCTGGTAGATGGCCAGGAGTCCCCTGGTGACCACCTGCATAGGGAAGTATTCCTTGAGCAGGTTCTGGTCCACGCGGTAGCGTGTCTCCTCCACCTGGTTCATGTAGTAACGCATGTCCCAGGCGTGGATGCAGCCATCGAACGGCAGACCCCGCTTCTCGCACTCAGCCTTCTTCAGCTCCAGGATCACAGCCCGCTCCTGCTCCCCGAGGGGCTTCAGCTTCTGGGCCAGCTCATCTGCAGGAAGGCGGGCTCCTGACACTCTACTCTGTGCACCAGCCACTGCCACACCAGCTCCCGTTCAGGAGAAGCTGCGAGCCACTGGCGATAGGGAGGCCCAACATGCCGAGGCCAGCACCACGCCACACCCAAGCAGCGCTGGAAGGGGGCAAGCTGTGCACAAGACGCAGACGATTCACCGTGACATTCATTAGGCCCTCTCCAGGCCGAAGGAAGAAGTCAGGCTGGTTCACAGGTGGAAGAACAGGCTCACAGGCAGCACCCATGCACAGGTCCCAGCAGCCCTCCCGAGGCCAATCCATGGATTGGGCAGTTACCTAGGAAGGAGGCCACGGTCTGGCTGGTCTTAGCCATGTTCATTTCCAGGACATAGTCAGCGTGTGTGCTGAACCCCAGCAGGCTGGACTTCTGTGCCCGCAGCGCTACCAGCTCCTTCAGGATGGCACAGTTTTCCTGCAAACCACAGCCCGCTGTCAGCCAAGGGTCCAGGCACCTGGACCTTCTTGCCCACTTCCCACAGCCTGGACCCACACTCTTCATCCTGCCTCACCAAGGGTGAGAGTCCCTCAGAGCCAGGAAGGGCCACGAAAGAAAAGGGACACAGGGGTGGGAGGCGTCCTCAAGAGTGTTACTACTGTGCTTGGGGATGCTGTCTATCCAGGGTCTGGCCCAGGCTAAGGCGCTGTCCACCCCTGCCACACATAAGCAGCCAACTGTGGGGACCCATATGGTCTTCTCATTCACTTAGGGCTCGTTCACAACACAGCACAGCGTGGGCAAACCAGCCACAGGGTCCAGCCAAACCCGCCTAGCTGCAGGGGAGTGGCAGCACTTGCCTGCGTTACCAGTCACACACAGAATCACCCTTGCCCTGGATCTCAGCACATCCCTCACTGCCACTGGGACCCAAGTCTGGGAACCAGATGGGATTCAGGAACAAGGATTCCTGTAGGGCTCCAAAGGGCCACAGTACCCTGGCCTCCTGAGCCATCAGGAAGGTGGAGCCACAGCACAAGAGCTGCCTGTGGGCTGAGGGTAACATGGATTTAAGGCTTATGTCCAGAAGGCAAGACGGCACCAATGGGACCTGACCCTAGCTCCTGAACAATGGGGTCCCCTCTGTGCAGGCATTTGGCACGGCAGACATAGATCAGCCCCACCTGTGGGTTCCCTTCTCCCCACTCCAACTGCACATGGCCTCTCAGCCAGCTCAGCCTGTCACCAGGAGCTCTGTGCTGACCCCATGGGTGGGCTGTAGTGTTAGCACAGGAGTCCAAGCAGCCACCCTTGCTGCATCCACTGTACAATATGCTCAATAGGGGACACACACAGAGGCCGTCAGGACTCAAAAGGGGTAGCCACAGCAGCGTCCACGTGGAAGCACTAGCCCCAGCACATCTGCAACTCCAGCTCCAGTGTGGCAAGGCCACCCTGCAGCTGAAGTGGGTAAGGGGTGGCCAAAGAAAGGGAAGGAACAAGCATGCACTCAGTAATGCTCAGAAAAGCTACCACAGAAGACACTAGGGGGAGGGGGCAAAGCCCTGCTATGGACTGGGGCGACCAGGCCCAGAGCCAGACCTGCCCCGCAGGGGAGAGGCTCCAGCCAGCTGCCTGTTCTGTGGTGCCTCACCTCCTTGCAGCGGCAGTTGAAGGCCTCCTCTACTTTCCTCCTGGTCTCAGGCACATGGCACTTCTTCAGGAGAGGGAAATAGTGGGGGTACTTGAGGGTGACTTTCAACTTGCCATCCTCTGTCTTCTCCAGCGAGTTCAGAAAGTCCTCAGGGAGCCCTCCTGTGGGTTCAGATTTGGGTGGCTGTGAGAGGAGCAGCCTGTCCATGTGCCCCATGGCTGCAGAGGGGGTGCACCCTGGCTGGAGTTCAGGCTAGAAACAGCTAGCAGGGAGCAGTTCTCAGGCCCAGTCCCACCACTCCACTCCATCCCCTAACCCTCTGACTACCTCTGGGCCTCCAGCTCCGGTATGTGGAATGATGAAAGTGATGGGGGCAGCTGTCAGGTTCCCCTCACAAAAGATGCCAGGGAAGGGCTGGCAGAGTGGCTCGAGTGGTAGTGCCTGCCTAGCAAGCATCAGACCGAGTTCAAGCCTCAGTGCTGCCAAAAGAAGATGCCAGGCAGCCTCAAATGCCACAGTTGAAAATGGGAAGCACTGAAGAGCCAAAAGAAAAGCTAAGAGTGCTGAAGTCTACAACCAGAGGGGACACAGAGGAAAAAGGGGGAGAAGAGGGCAAGGGAGCAATGCCCCAACGAGAGCAATAGCTTTGAGCTTTGCTTTTCCTGAAAGACGGCCCAAAGCCAGCCTCTCGCCCTGAGCTAGTCTCCAGGCAGCCACTTCCTCTACATCTCCACTGTGGCCTGAACACTGCCCCTGGCTGCTTTCTGAACCTGCCCCTCCACAGCAAGCCCCATCTAGATGCTCAGAGCTGTTTCCATAGGCATCCAAAGACACCAAAGTCAGAACAGAGCCAGGCGCCAGAGGCTCACGCCTATAATCCCAGCTACTCAGGAGCAGAGATCAGGAAGGATCTCAGTTCAAAGTCAGCCTGGGCAAATAATTCATGAGACCCTATCTCAAAAATTGGGCTGGTGGAGTGGCTCAAGGTGAAGGCCGAGTTCAAGCTACAGTACCGCAAAAAAAAAAAAAAAAAAAAAAGTCAGAACATGCCAATGAATTGTCCTGCCAGAAAGGAGCCTCAGGAATCCAAAAGCCACACACATAGGTATGAGCCCTGACTGCTTGAGCAAAAAGAATCTCCATCGTGGTGGCACATGCCTGTTACCCCAGTTACAAGGGAGGCAGAGACCAGGAGGATAGTAGTTTGAGGCCAACCCAGGCAAAACCCCATCTCAGCTAACAGCTGAGTGTGGTGGTACATGCCTGTTATTCCAGCTATAAATAGGAGGATCAAAGTCCCAGCTGGTCCAGGCATAAAAGGGCTAGGGGTAAGGCTCGAGTGGTAGAGAATCTGTTTAGCAAGTGCCAGACCCCGAGTTCAAACTCCAGTAATGCCAGGGAAAGAAAAATAAAAAGATAAAAGAAAGATAAAGCAAAAGGAAAAAAAAAAAAAAAGAAAGATAAAGCAGATCACTAGAGGTGAGCCAAGAGCACGGGTTTCACACTGCGCTGTTCTTGAGACTTCTGCATGTCTAAAATGAAAGGCTCAGGCCAGATATGACAGATTCCACCTCTCCCTTGATTCTGTGAGACTAAAAAAAATCACTCTCAGGGATGAGCAAGGTTATGGGGACCTGCTAACTAGTGGTGGGCTGACAGTGGAACCTGTAGTGCAAGCTCTAGAGCAGGGTTCCTGCTGTCAGGCAGGACCTGGGTCAGCCACTAGGCTTCCTGAGGAAGGATTTGGAACATCTACCATGCCCTTGAGTGCACAATGTGAGATGCTCCTTGTCCAGGACAGTCAGGCACCTGCCACTACCCTGGACTACAGAAGTCACAGGGAAGAGGCAGCAGCCCCTGAGGGCCTCTACAACCTGGTCTTCTAGGCAGGACCCTTAGGGCTGCCACACTGTGGCATACCCAGCTCCTCGCGCGTGAATGGCAGGAATGTTGTGTCCTCATTCAGGTTCTTGTTGAAGTCGATGCACAGGAGACTCAGCTTTTTTTTGATGCTCTTGATTTTCTGGGGGGAGGAAAGGCAGTGTAGGAGGGAAGGTCAGGGCAGCAGGGGCCCTCTGTGCAGGGCACTCCTAAGGGTGGGGGCAGGTGACTCACTTCCTGAGTTTCCTTGGGGAGGTGGAGCCCGTTCCTCCGGCCCAGCTTGATCAGCCGCTCCAGGTACCTTGCTGCTTCTGGCCTCAGTGAGTCCTTCTGCACTTTCTCCTGCAAGCAGCAAATCAAAGCATGTTCACTCAAGAGATGACATGGCCCTGAAAAGACCCTCCTCTGAGCCTGGTGGGGATATGGAACACTAGCCACTCCTTAGAAACCCATCATGAGCCAGGCCCGGTGGCTCACACCTATAATCCTAGCTACTCAGGAGGCAGGAGGCAGGAGGATCACAGTTCAAAGTCAGCCTGGGCAAATAGCTTGCGAAACCATATCCTGAAAACATCCATCACAGAAAAGGGCTGGTGGAGTGGCTCAAGGTGTAGGCCCTAAGTTCAAACCCCAGTACCACAAAAAAACAAAAAACAAAAAAACCAAAAACAAACCATCATGACCACCACAGGCTTGGGCCGTTGCACTCTTGGGCACTTACCCCAGAGGTGGTGGCTGTGCCCACAAGTGCAAGAGGTTTGGAAGAGCCCAGCTGAGATGAGGCCAGAGTAAACAGGAGGAAGGGAAGACGGGTGACAAAGCCAGCACCTTGGCTATGGGGTTGTACTGAAGTTGTGCACAATGTCACCACTGAAGACCTGTGCAAAGCATACAGGGAGTCCTATGTCATCTCTTAAGACTGTGTATGAACCTACAAAAACTTAAAAAACCATGGCAGATGGGGTGCAGCTCAGTGGTGAGGCTTGCCTAATACAGATGAGGCCCTGGGTTCCATCCCCGGCACTGTAAAGGACCAATTGCAGCTAAGCATCAGTGGCTCATGCCTCTAATCCTAGCTACTCAGGAGGCAGAGATCACGAGGATTGTGGTTCAAAGCCAGCCCAAGGCAAATAGTTCGCAAGACCCTATCTCCAAAAAACCCTTCACAAAAAGGGGCTGGTGGAGTGGCTCAAGATGTAGGCACTGAGTTCAAATCCCAGTACTAAAAAAAAAAAAGACCAATTGTCTTGCCAGCACCAGCTCCTCCCCCACCTCTGTGGCTTGCTTCCAGACAGGGAGAGAGGAACAGTGCATGTGCCAGGCTCCAGCAGCTGGAGAGGTTGAGCAACAGGAGAGGAATCTGGGTCCTTGCCTCCTGGCCACAGCATGTCAGCAGCAAGGGCCCCACAGTGCTGCTCCTGTCGCCCATACAGCCTGGCTCCCTGTAGGTGGCACTGGCCTTTAGCTCATGCTGGCACAGGGTGCTGTAACCAAGCAGAGGGGTAGGAACCTGAAGTGGTGCCTATGAGCCCCATGTGCTGCTTGCCGTGCTTTCTCCAACTGTCACTGGCTCTCTTCAAATTTCATTTTAAGGGAAAAAAGGAACATAAAGGTGACTGTCCCCCTATTGTTTCAGGGTCCGCTTCCCTTAAGCACACACACACTGTTAGTGTGACCAGAATTCCCGCAATGATCCTCATTATCATGCATTTTAAAAGCAAGAGGACAGCACACTCCAGCTTGCTGTGGCTCTAGAGACCAGCTGCCTCCACCAAGACTGCCCTGTGCCTGCACCTGCAGCCAGACGATCCTTTGGTACACGTCCTGCCTCATGCTCATCTCCACGTCAAACTCCGACAGCTTCTTGTCGGCCTCTGTGCTGGCTGCTCGGATGTCCTTGGATGGGGACACATGCTGCGGGAAATCCAGGATGTTCCTTTGCACTGAAACGGACAGTGGATATGGTGTGACAATGGCCCTGGGCTGCAGGCACAGGGACCTTGCCCCACCAGGATGGGCTGGGCCTGGGTGGTGCCACTGCTGGAGGCCAGGCCCAGAACACTGGCTTTTAACCTGAGGGCAATGGAAAGGCCCTGAGGACTGTAAGAGGGAACAGTGGCTGGCACAAGGTTGGATTTATAACCGTTCCAGGTGGAGTGTGGAAGGAGGAAAAGGCTTCAGGAGTAGAATGTGGAACTGACCAGTCATGCTCCATGGGGAGCTGCTGCTTGACAGAAGTGGGGGGCGCCGAGGCCCAGGCTCAACCCACCCACTGAAAGCCAGAGTGAGCAGGAGGCAGAGCCAGCATCAGAGCCATACCTGCAGGTCACAGGTGCCCAGAGCCCCAGTCTTGTCTCCACCCCAACACACTGCCCCTTTCCTAGAGGTAGCACGAGCCCTCTGGAGTCTAAGCAGTATAAGCCAGGGGTCGAGAACCCATCCCAGTCACCCCCCAGGAACACACAAGATCCCCTCAGCTTGAATTCAGAAATCCCTGAAGGCAGGAGTTCCCTTGCTCAGAATCCCCTGCTGCAAGGTCCCTTAGCCATTTGGCAGGTGGACACTGTAGACCTCTAGAAAGGGCTCTGGACAAGATCCCTGTGATCTGGGCCCCCAGTCCTCACGAGGTCAGCAAAGGGACCTAAGGAGAGGAGGAGGCTCTGTGGGTAGGGACTGGGATGCCTGTGGACAGAGGTTAGACAATTGCAGGATAGAGCCTGAGGTGGCAGATGGAGCAGGATTGAAAGGGGCCACCATGGCTTCAATAGGGTGTGTGCCCTCCAACCCTAAGGCTGAAATTGCCTGCCACAGTGGCAGCAGGTCATGGAGAGGTGACTAGGCAGTTAAGAGGGGTACCGCCTTTCCCAGGAAATCATTCTCATTCAAGAGCTGGCTGTGGTGAATTTGGAATCCTCATTCTGCACACGCCCCTTGCCCTTCACTCTGCCACAATCAAAGCTGCATGAGCCCTTACCACATAGACATTTCCAGTCTCCAGGTCTGTGAGACAAAATCAATCTTTTTTTCTTTATAAATTACTTGGTCTCAGGTAGTCTGTTATAACAGAAAACTAGCTAAGAAGTGGGGTGGTGGTGCCTGTCATCCCTGCTAATCAGAATGCTGAGGCAGGAGGGTTGCTTGAACCCAGGAATTTGAGAATAGCCCCGGCAATATGGCAATAGATGTCTCAAAAGAAAATCAAACAATAAATGAACTAAGACAAGGGCCAAGTTCATTAGTTCAGACAGACACTAAATACCCTCTGGCTGGGAACAGGTTAGAAGTGACTCAGGTTTCAAGTTGCCACCTGAATTGGCTCTCTACCACTTCAGGCTCTCAGATGATGCAACCGGGGAGCAGTTTGATTGGAGGAAGTGGAGGAGGGCACCTGCTAGATGCCCAACCAGGTTGGATGGATAAGGAGTGTTTATCTGTCACACCCACCCTGCAGCCAGGGTCAGGAACTGGGATTAATGAGTTCTAGGCTCTGAGCCCTGCAGCCTCTCTTACTTCTTCCCATCATGCTGACTTCCTGGAGACACCAACCCCCGACCTGGGCCCCACGACTGGCTCACCTGTGTAGGACACCTCCACATCAGCCAGCGCCTTGAGCGTGCTCTCATAGGACACCTCCTCAAACTCCTGTGAGCCCACCTGGTCGTATACACGCTTGGTCTGCTCGATGAGCTCCTTGGTGAGCGCCTCAATCTGCAGGGCACTCAGGTCCCACTCAGGTAGTTCACGACGGAGCACGGAGACGCTGCATCCAGGACATCCCCTGCGCAGGCTGGACAGAGAAGGCAAAAGGCAGCACTGATTGCATCTGACCAAGTCCACACTCAGGGTCCAAGGGACCTGGGTGAGTGAGGCCCAGGGGTCTTGTGGGGACCGATTTGCTGGAGAAGATTCTGTCCACTAGCCAAGGGATACTTGCGGGTGGAGGTCAGGGGCAGTGCTCAACACTCCATCTACAAGCCCAGGAGTCCATCACAGAGAACAACCCAGTTGCTCAAGCTGCTATTAAAAACCTTGCCCTAAGCCAGGCACTGGTGGCTCACGCCTGTAATCCTAGCTATTTGGGAGGCTGAGATGAGGAGGATGGAGGTTTAAGGCCAGGTGGGGCAAAAAAAAAAAAAAAAAAAAGCAGCTCCTGTCTCAAAAATAACCATAGGAGAAAAGGGCTGTAAGTGTGGCTCAAGTGGTAGAGCACATGCCTAGCAAGTGCGAAGTGACGAGTTCAAGCCCCAGCACCACCAAAAACCCTGCCCTAGAGACACCAAGCACAGGTGCTGGCCAGCAGCACCCAAGGACCCTCAGGTATTCACAAGAGCAAGTCCAGGAGCACCATGGCACTGCTCAAGTCCCAGCACGCCAGGGTGAGAAACGGATGCACAGTGGGAGTTCCTGATGGAGCCCTTCTACTTCTCCCTTGCACTCCACACCCAGTGAGGAGTGCACAGGCCTTAACTCATTCACAAGTGATTCAGGCTGGCTGTGGAGGTCAAGACACACTGGTGATGTGGGAGTGTAATTATGGGATTGAGAGCAGTACACCTTGCATCCTAAATACAACAAAGTTGTTGAATGGCAGCTGTTGCAACACACCATAATTGCTCATCCAAAAACTCCTGGGGCCAGGATATCCTGAAAATCAAGATTTCCCTTTACTTTAGAAAGGCAATACAGTGCAAAGGCAGTGTATTACATAACATCCAAGAAGGTTGGGGAAGCACCACATAATCTTTCTGCAGTGGTATGAGGGAGTACACACCAGGACCTCCCTCAGCCACCCAGCACTGCTGACATGTGGGACCCCACCATTATCTGGGGTGGGCATCCTGGACCCTGCAGGATGCTAATCAGTGTCCCTGGCCTCTGCCCTATCCATGCCTGGAACCTCCCCGCAAAGTTGTGATAACCATAAATGTCCCCAGATATTGGCTTGGGTCTCAGAGGTAGCATGATCCCTGCAGCTTAGAACCATTGATGTAAAACTAGGTGGGAAAAAGGCTCTACATCACCAAGATTCTGGGGCCGAATGACTTTGCTGCAGACTCAGGCAGAGCATTTGGGATTTCAGAATTTCAAAAAGGGAACTGTGTGCTGTATTAAAACTTGTCAAGGCTGGGCACTGGTGGCTCATGCCTGTAATCCTAGCTACTCAGGAGGCAGTGATCAGGAGGATCAAAAGGCAGTTCAAAGCCAGCCTGGGCAAATAGTTCGAAGGACCCTATCTAAAAAAACTCATCACAGAAAGGGCTAGTGGAGTGGCTCAAGGTGTAGGGCCTACCAGCAAGTTCTCCTGGAGTAGTGAGGGCTTGAAGATCTTATGGACATCCATTCATTCTGTAAATGTTAGACTGCCACCTCTGTGCCAGGTCTCTGAGCCAAGAATCCAGAAGCTTGAACGTTATTATTATTATTACTACAGCAGGCTCAAAGAAGAACCCGGGGAGGGTAGGCAGTCACGAGCAAATTCAAAGATATAAATAAGGAGGCACCACACAACCTGAGTGAGTTTGTAAAATATACAACTGCTCCCTGATGAAACCCAACAGCATCCTTGATTTTAAAATAAGAGGGGCCCCCAGCTGCCAAAGTGACTGTTTGCTCCGATGTTCCTGCCTCCCTACCTTGGCCTTGGCGGTTCCCTCTATCAGGACGCTCCCGCAGGTGCTTCTCTTTAGTCTAGGTTCCAATGTCACTTCCTTCGGGAAGCCCTCCATGACCACTCTTTAATGAAGTCTCTCCAAGCTTGGCCCTACCAGATTTATTTTCTCCACACCAGCATATCTAAGGTCCTCCTTTACTCATGTAAACTTGTTAAGCGTCCATCTCTGGCTCCAAAATTGCAGGAGCATGGGGATCGGGTCCTTACTCTTCCCTGTCGCCCCTGGGTCCGACCCGTGCAAGTATGCACAATGGATGAGCATGTTAAAAGTTGGTTCTTTCATTCCTAGACGAAGGGGCAGGGTTGCCCACCGCCCACTTCCCCCGAGCCCCGGCCGAGGGTCACTCGGCTCGGTCCTAGGCCCAAGTCACAATTCCGGGAGGATCGCGGGTATAGGGGACACCCTGGTCCCGCGAGCCGGGCCTCAGCGAGGGACGGCCAATACCTGCGGGGGGCTTCATAGTGAATGGGTCTGCACCGGCGACTTCCTCTTTGCACCTGGTCAGTGTCCAGCCGCCTCAGCCGCAGTGGGCTCCTCACTCAACCAGGTTCCGCTGCCACCGCAGTGGTCCTCAGACTGAGGCGCCCGCCGCCCGCGCGCCCAGGGCATGCTGGGAGAGCGCGTGCGCACGAAGGACCGGGTGCTCACGCGCCGGAGCTCTGCCCACACCTCCAAGTTGCTGACCCGCTCTGCGCACGCGCTACAAACCTCCTGGCCCGTTATTGGCTCTCAGGGGTAGGTGGGCGGGGCTACGGGGCCCACCTCCGCAGAGCTGCCAGGAGGACTTGGAAATAGTGTTTCCATGGAAACCGCACACACCTTTCCGCCTCAGAGCCTCTTTTTAAAATTTTTTTGGCCAGGACTTGGCTTGCGCTTCAGGCCTCTGTATTTATTTGTACTTGCCTCTTTTCTTAAAACTGTGTGTTGGGCCAGTTTTATAAGTTTTGTCTTTCAATTATGGGCCTCAGGTTATATTGTATCTCAACACCCTTTTTTTTTGCACCGTTCTTGGAGATGCTGCAATACCAGTATCGATGCCTGGAGTGGACGGAGCAAGCTCCTGTTTCATCTCACTGTTCCAAAAGTCCATTTAATATATTGTCCTCGTATAGAAGACCTATCAGATATTAAACTGATGACAGATACTACACTTGATCTTGGCCGAGAAATGATCAACGCACTTTTTGTAGGTAATCTCTCTCCCAGCTTCCCGCCCAGGCATCTAAGGAATAGAGCGCCCTACATACATCAACTGAATGCGGTTCATCAAATAAAATAATCACAGTTTAAGAAAAAAAAAAAAAAGGGCCAGGCGCCAGTAGCTCAAGCCTATAATTCTAGCTACTCAGGAGGCAGAAATCAGGAGAATCATGGTTGGAAGCCAGCCCAGGGAAATAACGCGAGACCCTATCTCGAAAAAAAACCCATCACACACACACACACAAAAGGGTTGTTGGAGTAGATCAAGGTGTAGGCCGTGAGTTCAACCCCCGCCCCCTCAAAAAACTAAGCAAGTATAATCAAGAAAGTGTATAATAATACCCGTTGAAAATCGTTTTAAAAACTGGGTGCTGGTGGCTCACACCAGTAATCCTAGCTACTTGGGAAATAAGAGAATAGACATTCCAGGCCAGCTCAGACAAATACTTTGTCAGACCCCATCTGCAAAATAAGGGGGGAAGGGAATAAGAAAGTAACAGAGGGGGTAATTTAATCAAAGCACATTATATGTACGTATGGAAATACCACAATGACAGTCCTTTATACTGTACACAGTGATTTAACAAGAGAGGGCATCAGTGAATGGATTCATGACTTTTGGTGGGGGATAGTATTGGGGTTTGAACTCCGGGTCTCCCATTTGCTAGGCAATGGAGCCTGTTCTTTTTTTATGTTGGTATTTTCAAGATAGGGTCTCAAGAACTATTTGCCCAGGCTAGCCTTGAACTGCTATCCTCCTAATCTCTGCCTCCCAAGTAGCTAGGATTACAGATGTGAATCAATGGTGCCCAGCTGGATTCATGACTTCCAATCACAGTGTTTTGGAACACTGCAGTAAAGATCTACATCTAGTATCCTGGGCTAAAAGAAAAAAATTCAGACTGGAAGAGTGGCTCAAGTCGTACGCGCTGGCCTAACAAACCTGAAGCCCTAAGTTCAAACTCCAGTACCACCAAAGAAGAAAGAAAAATTGAACGGTCTAAAGCACCCAGAAAAAAAAAATTATTAAAACACGCAAAAGAATGCCCCACTTCCTTTATTTCTGAAAAAAAAAAAAATTAAAAGAGGCCAAAGCATTACTTTGTGCATGTGTTTTAACTAGCACAAAAATGAATTGAGAAAACTTTTGGCAACTTTAACATTGACAGTGGTCTGTCATCCTGGGCAATTTCCCTTCATCACTCAAATTTTTTTTTTTTTCCTATCTCTTGAGACCACCAAGCTTACTTCTAGGTCAGTCTTCATTTGTGCTCTTCCTGTGCCTGAGGGACTTTCCCTTTGGTTTTTCACCTCTTTCAAGCCGGCAAGTCCCCAGGTAACTTAGCTTCCCAGGACAATATCACACCATTTTTTTTACTCCATTCTGTTCGCCGTTGAGTGAATTTCTTTTTTAGTTACAAATTTATTAGGCTATACCCCATCTACCTCAATAGAAAGTAGTGAATACTTTCTTGCTCTTTAGAGTTGCTTTGCTGTATTTATTCAATAAAGATTAGCCATCTGCTGTATACAAACATCTCTGACTTTACAGCTTATGGACTGAATGCATAAAAGAATGCATTTGTGGGCGAGTGGGTGAATGGGTGGGGAATAAATGAACAAAGATAGCAAGCGAATAACACTGACTCCCATTCACGCAGCGTCCGTGATGTTCTGGGTGTCTGGTGCCCAAACGCAGCGGCACCACGTGGCCAGCTACACCACGTGGTCGGTTCAACCTATCCACTGGAGACTGCCACTGTCCCACTATGCACCGCTTCACACCGGCTCCAGAGGGCCAGTCAGACTTGATTTCCGGCCGCAGAGGTCAGTTTCCCTAACGACCAGCTTCTTCCCGCCTCTAAATTGCGTCACTTCTTCCCACACCCTCCTCGCTCACGGACGCGCCTGCGCAAAATGAAAACAAACCGGCGCGGGACTCCTTCTGCGCAGGCGTCACAGTCTGGGGGCGGGGCCGGGCGGCACCACGGTGCGCAGGCGCAGCCGTCGGTGGGTCGGGTCTCGGTCGCTTCACAGGTGAGTAGGGGGCTCAGCCGTGAGCCCGATGAGCCTGGGGGTCTGCGGCCCAGGACTCACGGGCCTCGGGAGCCCGTAAAAGGGGGCAGGCAGGTCTGGGGCCGGGTCTCTGCGCTCCATAGAGTCCTGTGAGTGGGCGGCGCGGAGGGGAAACTGAGGCAGAGCGCCGTCGGGCAGGCCCTTTCGAGTCCTCGCCGCTCTTCCCCGGGATTCAGGCCCTGACAATGCTGGTGCGCAGGCGGGTGGCGAGGACTGTGGGGGCTAAAGGCGCCCTGGGCGTAGCGAACGTGTTCCGTGCACCCCGTGGTCTTGAGAGCTGCTTGGAAACACGCTCACTTTGACCCGGAGACCCTGTTTGTCCCAGCGCCACGACTCATTGCCTGGGTGACCTTGGCTGGTCTCTTGCCTGCTTAGAGCCTCAGTTTCCCCGTCTGTGAGATGTTTTCACAGTCCCCTGACTGGGTGGATGAGAGCCACAGGACCCTTACACACCCAGAGTGTTAGCAAATGTTAGTCCTGGTTCACATTCAGGTTTTTTTTTTCTTTGGCTAGAGGTAGGAGAAGTGTGGGTTCGAGAACCATCCTGCTTCCTTTCGCTGACTGTGTGGACTCGGGCAAGTCGTTTCCCTTTTCTGAGTCGCCATTCTCTGTCAATTAGTTGTAAAAGCATATGTGTGCCTCACAAAGTCACTCAGGAGGGCTGTGGAGTGGCTCAAGTGGTAGAGGGCCTGCTTAGCAAGCATGAGGCCCTGAGTTCAAACTCCAGTAACACCAAAAAAAAAAAAAAAGAAAATGACAAAGTCACTCAGGTTAAAGGACCCCAAAACGTCCACTAATCAGATGCTGAAAGTCCATAAGCACTTGTTAGGGACTAGCTTTTTTTTTTTTTTTTGTCAGAAAACTTTCAAGCTCTCTGTGTCTCTTTTTTTACACTTGGTAGGCAGATGCTCTACCACTTGAGCCACTCCCCCTGCTCTTTTTGTATTGGGTATTTTTTGAGATAGGGTCTCAAAAGCTATCTGCCCAGTCTAGGTTCAAACTATGATCCTCCTGAACTCTGCCTCCTGAGGAGCTAGGATTATGGGTGGGAGCTGCCAGTGCTCAGGGGTCTGCCTCTCTTGTGCAGAATCATTTTTGTTTTTTATTTGTTTCTATCTCTGATTATTTGTTTTGTCTGGCTTCTCCTCAGAGAAGAACTGAGAGCAGATCTGTCCCCTAGAGACACTGGGCCATGCCTGGGGACATATGGCTGTCACAACTAGGGAGTTCATAGTATGGAGTGGTGGAAGTCAGGGATGCTGCTCAGTGCCCCTCAGGGCCCAAGATGCACCCCTCCCCCCACCAGAGTTATCTGGCCCCAAATCTTAATAATACTGCTGTTAACAAATGCACCCTCTCTGACATGGCCTCCAGGGGATGTGTGTGTGTAGTTCTGTGTGTGTGTGCCCAGTTTTGTGGGGCAAAGAAAGACACGTTGAAGTTTAGTCTCAGGAGTCAGATTTTCTTGGTTCAAAGCTCCTGATTTGGGTTGTAACAGCTGTGGCCCTAGGTGGCCTCAAAGGTCCTTCTAATCCTCGCTTTTTCCTTCTGTAGAATGGGGATTAGAGTAGCAGCCACGTGAAGTGTGTGAGGGTTTAATGATCCAAGATCTCAAATTTGACCAGCGCGCCAAATCCAACTTTTGTGAATGAAGGCCCCTGGGAACCAGGCCAAGCTCTTTGGAAGGTTCACAGTGTATCCGCTGTTGGATTTGAGCCGCAATGGCCAAGTGAAACAGGTTGCTGCAGAGACCGTCTGGCCTGTGATGCTGGAGGTACTCCTGCAGGGTCAGAAAATGTTTGCTGATCCCTGAAATGTGCTCTTTTGTGGACAGCAAGTAGCTGTAGCTGGGAGCCCAGAATGTCTCTGAGCGCACCAAGGATTTGAGCTGAGGTTTATTGTAACTCTTTCTGGAAGGGGGAGTGACTCCCCACCAGGTTAATCTCTGCTCAAATTGGCAGCTCGTGGATGGCCCTAGACTGTTCCTCAGTCATAGTCTGCATGACTCAGTTGTACGTGTTTGTACCAGGACCCCACTGTCCAGAGGACATGCACAACAAGGGTTGAAGGAATGAAAGGAACCAGAGACTGCCAGGCCAGAGCGGGGTTGTGTTTTTTCTTTCTTTTTTTTTTTTCGGTTCCACTGGAGTTTGAATTCAGGGCCTCGTGCTAGGCAGGCGCTCTACCACTTGAGCCATGCCCGCAGTCCTTTTTTTTTTTTTTTCCAGGTAGGGTCTCACCTTCTTTGTCCAGGACTAGCCTCAGACTGTGGATCCTCCTACCTGTGTCTTCCACATTAGTGTAGTTGGGGTGACAGGCACACACTACCATGTCCTGCTTCTTTTGTAGAGATGGAGTCTGGCTAGTGTTTTGCCTGGGCTGATCTTGAATGTGATGCTCCTGATCCCCGTTTCCCCAATAGCTGGGATTACAGGTGTGCACCACCTTGTTATCTTCTAAGGAGGAAACAAGAGCCAAAAAGACGTGCCCTTCCCAAGGAACTTCCCAAGGGCTCTGATGTAATGTTCCCAATAGGAAGCCAGTCCAAGAGCTCAGAGCCTGGTGGGGGAGCACAGCCCATGAGGCAAAGGCCTTATAAGATGTGCTGGACCAGGGTAGAAACAGCACTGGGGTTGGCAGAAATCAGAGCTTCTTTCCCAATGCGGGGGATAGATGAGCCAGCCCTGAGTTTGAGTGGGCTGTGGAGGGTTTGAAATGGATCCCCCCACACATGCAGGTGGCACCTGGCACTAAAGGGCACACTCATGAGCACTTGGGGGATTCTAAGTGTGTAGTGACATCCTGCTGCCATTTCAGAGGTAATAGGTATGGTCTGAGGAGTACAGAGGGGACCCAGTTATAACCCAGGTCTCCAAGATGGAATGGGAGCAGAGCACTCAGCTCTCTGAACCTGCTACCTGGGTGGGGGTGCTGTGCATGACTGTGAGGGGAGCAGAGCTGTTGCAGAAGGCGCATGGATGGGGGCCTTGGCTCGCACCTGGGTGTAGGGTGGTAAGACTATTACTGGAAAGTTAGAGAAGCCATCTTACCTGGTCATTGCAGCTAATCAAAGAAGAACTTAGACAAGACAAGAAAATTAGTGAGAGCCGCAGCAAGGTTTGTTAGGAGGGGACACACTTCCCTAAGCTGTCTTTAGGGAGAGAATGAGAATGACAACTGTTTTTACCCTGGCACCAGTTTTTATTGGGGTGGAAGGGGCTTGGAGCCTTAAGTCCCTCCCTAGGACCAGCCCAGGAGACCAAAGTCACAAGGCTAGGGTAGGTGTACAGATTTACAAAGTATTATTGGATCCACCTGACCCTTAGGGTCTGATTTAAAGGCTTGGGGAACTGCTGTTGACCCACCTCTGGGTAGGTGACTCAAAACATCGTGTGACATGGAATGACCCAGGTAGGTTATTTGATCCTAATGGGGACTGTTCAGTGTTTTTCTCCCAGGGACCTTGGAGAAGTCTCCATTTGAAGTTTCTTTTGCATGGCGCCATTGTTTGTGGCCAAGTGCTACCTCACAAGACAACCCCATTTTGGGAGTGTGGGATGTTTTTCCTTCAGTCAGTCCTGGACAAGTAAATAGAAGGAGATGGGGTGTGTCTGTTGAGCTGTGCTGTTTGCATTGTGAAAGGGCTATGAAGCCCACCTGAGGGGGCTTGACCCTTGGGCCAAGACCATCCCCCTCCCCAGCACCCTTTGCCTCATATACCAGGCCTGAGCTCTGTGCTCATAAAGCTGTCACTGTTTGCAGAGAGTTGGGTCCTTTGAGAGTTTTGTCTTGCAGCCAAAACCCTACAAGCCAGAATTGTTGAGATGTGGGTGCCGAGTTGCCTCGAGGGATGCAGGATCCGCCCTCTGGAGGGAGGTCAGGGAAAGTATGGCTTTGATTTGGGAACTGGGTCCTGTCCTCCAGCTTTGGAAGAGAGGAAGCAACAGGTTTTACATCCATCTGGCCATGTGGTGCTGGGCCTCAGCGGTGATCCACAGTCTGAGACCCAGCACACTGCACACAGAGATGTTCTGACAGGAAGTCACTGGGCGAGAAAGGTCTGACCTGTTCTGGCCCACAGCCTGACTTTTCCCACTTAGAGTGTGTCAGTGCCTTAGTTGGGGGTGATTTGTTCATGTTTGGGGACATTGGTGGTTGCCATGACTCAGGGAGCTCCTAGATAGAGTGGGTTGAGGCCAGAGACATTGCTTATCACACTGCAGGGCCCAGGAAGGAGAATAAGTCAACCAGGATGCCAGTCGGCCCACGGTGGAGAGATGCTGAGTCAGTTACTTGTGAAAAAAATATTGAGTCCATTCCCTGCCCTCACCAGACACTAGAACCCATTTTTGATGGGGCAGATGGTGTGACCAGGCACCCTTCACTCAGCGTGCAGATGTCAATGTGGGCAGCATCCTAGGGCCTCAGCAGGGCAGGTGGCCATGGATGCAGAGTTTCCTGGGGCCCATGGAATCCCCCGACCCAGGGGGTGATACTGCCCCTGGGGACCGTGGGCGGAGGCCAGGGATGCTGCTCCATCCTGCAGTGCGCGGGACCCTCCCTCTCCATCCCAGAGATCCCACCAGCCAGGTGGAGAGTCAGGCATTACCTGGCTGAGTCCCCACAACCCGGGAGGATGCCACTGTTGGCTAGTTTTGCAGAAGAGGAGCGTGAGGGCATTGACTGAGGCTATTGTGTATGCTCCCAGGACAGAGTTGACACAGCGTTGGCCTTGGGTGGGAATAGCTGGATGAGAGCATTAGCACTCCAGACTCCTGTCCTCCAGGCAGGTGGATCTTCCCTGTCTGCCACCTATACATCAGGTCTCGGGGAGGTTCCAGGTGACCTCAGGCAGCCACGCACCTGGTCTCAGTGCCCCTGGACAGGCCGCATGGAGGAGGGGAGGTGCTGCCCCAGAGCAGCTGACAAATATTTTCAGTAAAAGGCTGGGTAGTCAGTGC